AGAAATAAGCGAGTTACATTCAACATTCACGGCAATCTGTATATCATTTTGTATACCAATTCTACAAAACCAATCTCAGTATACGTAAGATTTCTCTCGAAGAAACGTGTGCCCGTCAGCACAGCAAAAGACCAAAAGGTAATTTGAGTCACATTTGTAAGATCTCGGCATACGATTTCTCAGTATATGTGCTGAACTTTAGTTACAATCAGGTCGCTGAACTTTGATTTTAATCGCTTATATATACATTAAACTTCCTAACTGTTTTTTTTGCAGTTGATGCAATACATCGCATGTAACCAACAAAAAGATAAAAGAAGGGTTTTTCCACTGTCCCTTTACGTTGGAGATAATGAAAATGATTCAAAATATATTTCTCTAAGGATGATTATTTGTATTACTTAGGGAAAAAAACAGCCAACATAAAAATGTTTTCCGTCATCAACAACAATCTATACCTAAAAATTTTCGTCGATAATGAAGCTATTTTCCGTCAACCGATTTCTGATCTTTTACAAAAAAAACGATTTCCATATAATTGATTTTCCTCGCGAAACAAACGGATTCGATTTTTCTTTACGTTAGAGCTCTAAAAAAGATGTTTTACGCAAAATGGCTGGCATTACATGGAACTTGCTATTAGACCCAAAAACATATTATAAAATAACTAGACCATTGGGATTTGACTTCTGATCCAACATGCAATTATCAATAATCACCAACTCCACCCGTCGCACAAAGTAAAAACTACATCCCCCCGCTCAAAAAGTGACGTCACAATAAGCAAATCACATTTTTTTTTTTAACCCAAAGTCCTCCCAAATCTCGCAGTTGCTCATGAGCACCTCCTGTATTTTACCTTGGGAAAGAGACGGCGATATCTCGGAATAATAATAATAATAATAATAAAACCATGGGGGAAAAAAACAAACAAACAAAGATGACGTCATATTAGTTTCCGTTGTTTTTTTTTTATTGGACTTAAAAAACGATACGAAATTACAAAAAATAAAATAGAAAAGAACACGGGGCGGGGGAGGACTTGGTCCCTCGCCGCCTCCTAATTGGTCAACGTTACACATTGCTGGGGACGTATGCGATGACGAATCGCACCTCCCCCCCCCCCCCACATTTTAAAGATGTAATATCGGGTCGATCTGGACACATGTACACGTTCTGAATCTCAACCGTTCGTGAAAGATTATATTTGAAATCGCGCAAATGGAGTGATCTCTCATAAGGTATTTTTGGCTACTGGCGAACGCTTCGAAGGCGACCCGTCGAGTCGACCCGCCCCTTTGCCCACGTCTACTGTTACATCGAGTCAGAATTTCCTCTCTCTTTTTTTTTTTCCTTAAAAGAAACTACTTTCTTAAAAAACTTGCTTCTTATCCGAATACCCTCGCCATGCTGATCAGCTGGACAAATTCGAGCGGTGGAGAACGCTGAGATATACGTCTGCCTGGATTCGATTCAAGGGAACCTTTGGCAAGGAAAGAAAGCTCTTAGAGCGCGGCACCTGTTCTCTGCGATCGTTGGTTTGGAACCTAAATTCATTACGAATGAAACCTACAGAGGTTCTATGGTGCCGTCCCGACCCGGCCTGATACCCAAACCATAAATTTGAATTTTAAACATGTAACGATATTTCCGAGAGTGATATTTGGCTCTGACCGTTGCGCGGCAAAATTTTTTTTTTTTTTTTTCCCCATCGATTCACTTCTCGCTTACTTGTGGCTCTAGCAAGATTACTTATTGTGCAATTTTGATTCTTTAGTGACAATCAATTTCCATACTCGTCTAGTCTGGTTCGTGAAGCCGCCCAATAATTTCCTAACTTCCGTGGAAAAATATGTCGATTGGGGTTTGTCCGGTACCTAGCCGGCCCATCTTTTAAGCTCTTCGAATTGCGTAAGAAGGCTTTGATTGATTGGGCTGGACATGTCAGAGATTTCAGGCCCAAATTCCATTTGGTCCTGGGCTATCTAGTTAGCGGCGACCTCACATGGGTTGAGCTTACCCCGGTTTTTCCTCTTTTCGGACGAAGTCCCGACGCGAAACGAACTTGCATTATAGGGGTGGGCAAGATGGACCGCCCAAACTGGGACCGGACCAGACCGACCGATTTGGTCCGGTTCTCGGGAATATCAGTCCGGCTCCCGGTTCCTAAAAGTGGAACCGGTTTCCAGACGGTTCAATTCCCAGTTCTAGGGTGGGAACCGGACCGATAAATATATATTTTTCTAATTTTTTTATATATATAATTTTTAATTTATATAATATTTAATACTGGTCATATTGGAACCGATTGTTCAAAATTTTTTTTTTTATATATTATATATTTTTCCAATTTTTTCCATGGTCTTGTGGGATCAAATCAGAATTACAAAGAAAAGAACAGGACAATCGGTTCCCGATTCACAAATAATATTTAATATTGGTCCCATTGGAACCGGACCAGACCGATGGTCAGGTCCGGTCCACGGTCCCAAGACTAACTGGTCCGGTTCCTGGTTCTTGGATTGGACCGGACCGAACCGGGAACTGCTCACCCCTATTGCATTATGTCGAAGATGATGCGAATACTCGACATGAACATGACACGAAAGGAGGAACAATCGCCCGTTGCTCTTGGTTGGTGCGAGGACAGAAGAGGAGGGAGATAGGAGAGATCATGGGGGAGAGGAAAGATTTGTTGAAAAATGAACATTAACACCATGCCCTCTGAATCCTAATGTTCAGGTATACTAAATTCGATTTTACTTAATCGATTTATTAAGCGATTCAATACGGCTCTATCATAAATTGAATATAACATTTTTTTTTCCTTTTTGCGAGCCGACGAAACTAGTTCTCTAAATGGCCCACTTTGAATGTCCAATTGCAATCCGACACGTCACTTCGACAGATTAGTTTAATAGACCGACCTTAACATACCTAAAATCGCCCAAAAAGTTAAGAGGAGACGACGTACGAATAGAATTCAAAGCCAACCAAAATGACCCGCACCACATATAGACGTTAGATTCATATTTATTTACCATAAGTCAAATGTGGGACACGCAAGGTAGGATAGACCAACCTTGACTCTTTTGTTGTAAGGCATAATCCATACTCAACAACATGCTTTTCAGTCCACGCTCGAATGCAACAAGGATTGAGGTTTGCACGGTTGAACAACTACCAGATAAATCGAAAGTCCAACCAAACAAAATCGAATTAGCTCTTTCTGGTCGTAAAAAAAACAGATGATGCTGAAACCTAGTAGTCACTGCCCATAGATCCATCAAGAGATGGAGATGAGATGACCTAAGTATGATATTGTTTCTGCGTCAGAAAATAGCAATCCAGTCGCTCTCTCGTTTTGAAAGCGTCGAAGGTTTTGATCCCTCCATTTTGGAGATTCTGGCTCTTAGGTATCTTATTTTCTTCATCGATATGGAACGATTACCAAAAAAATCATAAACTTAATGCGCTTGTGCTAATTTAGTTTTAAACTTTTCAATTGAACTAATTTAGTTCTAAACATTTCGATAAATTGCCAATTGAGTTATTCCTGCCAATTTTGACTGGAAATCGCTAATGTGGACATTGACCATCCTACGCTGACCATCTCACGTGGTATGGTCGACACTGACTCGGACAATTTTTTTAATATTTTTTAAATTTGATTTTTTAAAATTTTTCTTTACCTTTTTTTTTTTTTCATTGTGCTGGCAAGGGTCGCCAGTGACCCTTGCCCACAACCGATGAGGCTACGATGGCCTCACCCAGGGCCTTCGAGGCCTTGACGACCACGGGCGACCTGGCCAGCACAATGAAAAAAAAAGTACAAAAAAAGATTAAAAGTTACAAAAATTGATCACGTCAGCGTTAGGAGTGAGCCGTTCCAGGTTCTACCTGGAACCTACCCTTAAGTACATGTTCCTCATTTTTTGGAACTTGGAACCTACCCTGTCATAGGTTCTAAGGTAGGTGCCAGGGTCTAACAGGTTTTTTTTTTTTTAGTTCATTTTTAGTTAAACAAAACGAAAATGAATGCAACAATACTGAATAAGCTTGTCATTCACCAAAGAGAATACAAAAGACTAATTTTTCTGGCATTATGGTTAAAATAAATACAATTAAAATGAGAAGTCATTGCGTAAATCGATTCTATGGATGAGTGGTTCCATGTTCACTACAGGTTCCATCCTGAACTTACCCATGATAATAGGTTCCTCATTTTTTAGAATTTAAAACCTACCCTATCACAGGTTCCAGGTCGGTTCTAAGGTCTATCCAGGTTCCACATGTATTATTAATTGAACAATTGCAATGAATCATCACCTTTAATGACCACCATGTGCTGCTATGATCCACTGACCACAACTTATATTTAGATACACAAAGAATATGAAATATTAACAAGTCATGAAATAAAAGTTCAGACTAGTAGTTCTAGATTATACACTCACTATCTAACTGCACGGAACACCACAGGATCACGCGAAGACATAGACTAAGAAAAAACACAAAAAACATGTTGAGGTTTCAGGTTCCAAGTTCCACCTATCTAGAGCTTACTCGTTGAAACATGCTCTCTAATTTTTAGAATCTGGAATTTATCATACATACTTTGGAACCTGAAACCTATAAGTTCCCACTGGTCAGGTTCTCAGGTTTCATGATAGAATCTAGAATATGCTTATCCTTAGTCAGCGTCGATCGTGCCACGTAGGACGGCTAGCGTTCACATTAGCGATTTTCAACAAAAATTAGCCAGAAGGACTCAATTGGTGAATTGTTAAAAGGTTTATGACTAAATTGGCTAAATTGAAAGGTTTAGGATTGAAGTGGTACAAATATAATAAATTTAGGACTTTTTTGGTGATTTTTCCTCGTCAATTTACTACAAAACATGTCAACTTCGAACCATAATTTTCCTATGTACCCATTTGCAATGAAACTAAGCTGACTGATGATGGTACATTCTTTCTTACCGAGTAACGATTCATTCATTCACGTCGAAATGGCTATTCATTATTGGATTTCGGGGCACGCTAAAGTAAAAGATGATACACGATACCAGTCGAATTACAACAAACCAATGAAGATATATGTAAATATCAACCCCACTTACTGAAAAACAAACCCAGCTTTCCTAGTACATCTTTCTCCAATCCCCCTCTCTAAGGTACTTTTTTCTTTCCAATACACATATATCTATAGTCCGACACCATCTTCACATATCGAAAGAACAGACACAATCGCCATCACCGCGTTTATTCGAGACGCCCGCTTCTTAACTGTACTTCAGGAGGCACTCCTGGCGCTCGGACTCGTCGCGCCTGAAGAGGTTGACCTTGAGCCCGTGCTTCATGTACATCGTCAGCGCCAGCTTCGGGACCACGGGGTGGCCCTCGACCACCCTGACACGGTAGCGGTACAGGATGGAGGCGGCGGCGAACTTCATCTGGTAGTAGGCGAAGTCCTTGCCGAGGCACAGCCGGGGCCCGCCGTTGAACGCGGTGAACTTGTAGGCCGACTCGCTCATGAACCGGCCGTCCCGCAGCCACCGCTCCGGCTTGAACTCGCGGCAGTCCTTCCCCCATATCGCCTCCATCCTCCCCATCGCGTAGATCACGTAGAGGACCTTCGTGCCTTTCTTGAGCACCGTCCCGTCCGGGAACACATCGTCCTCGATAACCTAAAGTTGACACGCATTGATCAAGATGGATAAAATTGTTTATGAAACATTTGACAATGAATGCTCCAAATTTTCTAAATTAAATTCGTGGCTCGAAAAACACTAAACTAATAATCTGTGGACCCGCGTCGGGAACAAAATAGGACAAATAATAATAAACTGAAGTCAAAACAAAGTCTTCGTGGCATTGATTGACCAAGTCGACCCTTCATTCTCTCCTTGATGATGCAATTACGTGACTCGTGCCTCTTCTCCAGAAGGCCACGTCCTTGAAACTAAGCATTTCTTTTTATACTCACAAAGCAGTTAGTAGGTGAACGAGAAATGAACCCAACATCACACTCCGAATGAATGAACAACTTTTGGTCAACCTCGTAGATGCGCAGAGTAAAGTCCACTCGCGATTCAACAACTTGTAATCAAATTCCCACTAGTTAGATTAACCTCAAGGAATATTGTAATGAATTCGGATCACGTTAACCCACCAAACTTCTTGTTAATAGAATGATGCGAAATCTAGGATCGATGTTACGTTAACGAATGTTTCGTGACACTTAAGGAAAAAGATTATCGATTTTTTTGGATGATCAAGCTTTTCAAAATCGAACTATTTTTCGGCTTCGCTGCAGAAAAGGGAGGGAGGGGGTTCACCTCTTTGTGATCAATAGGGACGGAGGGATAGAGCCTGAGAGCCTCGGAAATGGCCGCTTGCAGATACTCCATCTTCTTTATCTCCTCCGGCTTGAACACCAAGTCCTCGCTGTCGCTCTCTCCTTCGCGATCGCTCACCACCTTGCAAAGCTCGGCCACGATCCGCTCTTCGACGTCTGGGTTGTTGTCGAGCAGCCAGAAGAACCAGCTCAGCGCCACCGACGACGTGTCCCTCCCGGCGAGTATGAAGTTCACGCATATGTCCCTCAGGAACTTGTCGGAGAACGGCCTCCCCTCCTCGTCCCTCAGCCTCGTGAACACCGTCAGTAAGTCCGACCTCTGGCACTTGTCGTCGGCGGCGAGCTCTTTCTTTCGGGTCCGGATCACTTCGTTTGCGAACTCGTCGACGCCCTCGATCGCCTTCCTCAGCGTCCTCTCGGGGCTGAAGTCGAGGAACCTCATGAGCTTCCACACGCACGTTGGCATGACGAAGCGGAGCACCGTCGCCTCCGTCGCGTCCTCGAAGGCCCTCGCGAAGGGGATCTCAGGGAGCCCTGGGCGGAGGCAGCCCGGGTCGACCCCGAAGGCGATCATGCACACGTTGTCGAAAGTCAGCCGGAGAAGCACGTCCTGCAGGTCAATTGCGGCGGAGGTGCGCAGGCTCTCCTCGAGAACCGGGAGGAGCCGGGCGTGGACGAGCTCGAGGAGGGACTCGATGGTGAGCCTCCGGAACTTGGCGGAGTGGAACTCGATGCTGGCCGTCTTTCTCTGGCGCTGCCACGTGTCGGCATCGGCGTTGAATATGCCGTCGCCGAGGAGGTCTCGAACGTTATCGCGGAAGTAGGGGCCCTTGGGGAAGTTGGAGAACCGGGTCTTGAGGAGGTGCTCGAGGTTGCGGGGGTCCGCGGTGACCACGCAGTTGAGGCTGGTGAGCCAGGGACCTCTGAACCAGAACGTGCCGTTCTGGCGGCACACCACGTCGGAGATGTACTCGTACATGTCGGTCCGGAGCCCCGCGACCAGGGAGGGCGCCATCCCGAGGACCGGCCACACCGCCAGCCCTTGGCGCTTCCCCTGCCGGACGGCATGGATGGCGACGAAGACGAAGAGCGCGAGGAGGAGCTCGAGGACCTGGACATGCTCCACGAGGTGGAGCCGGCGGGAGACGAAGCTCCCGGCGGCGGCGACCGAAGACGCGGACGAGGAGAAGGAGGTGTGGTTGCTGGGGCTCATGGCGTTGGAGTGAAGGGGACTAGAGGAGTGGTGGTGGTGGTGCATGAACAGGTTGGTTTAGTTATAATGTGAAGCTGTGAACCACGGTCACGAGTTATATGGGGGAGTGCCGATTTCGGATGCGTTTCTTGGCGTGCATAATTTTGCACGGAGCGGTTTCGATTTGGTGAGCTGAAAGATGTGCGCTTTCGAACAATTTTTCCATGGTTTTATTTGCCAGCTCGGCAAAACTTGCGAAATTGGGAATTTCCTCGGACGAAATTTTACACGGATATTTTGGAATTTACGTTCTTTTGGGTGGAGTAGTTCGTATTTTCGGACGACCGAAGGAGAATGTCGGAGGGTTCGTTACGGTTGGGTGTGTCCCAAGATTCACTTCCAAGAATATCGTAAAGATTAAGATCAATGTTTTGAGTGATAAGAAGTGGTTAAGGCGGATTACCTAAGTGCAACGATTTTCTACAGGTTTCGTCCTAAAAAGCTGGGGGCACAAATTGAAATACGGGAAAAAAAACCTATGGCGGACAGGGTGCGGTTTAGCGAAAATTAAATTGGGTTTAAATTAGGATCGTTGCTTGCGACCGCACGCGGCTACTATTCAGCCAGATCTCCATCTATTTTGACCATGCTTTGGCCGCTTTTGCATTGGTGTTTCGCCTTCTATGTTTGCAATTGCAAAGTACCCCTTCGATACTAGAGAACCCAAAAGATCGTGCGTACACGATAAATATTAGGAAAAATGACACAAATAGTCTTTGAACTTTGGCTCAATATGCAATTTAGTCCCTGAACTTTTAATTTGTTTAATATAGTCCTTGAACTTTAGGCTAATGTTTAATGTGGTCTCTGAAATTTTATTTTGTTCAATGTCATCCCCGAACTTTTGGTACATGTTCAATTCAGTCCCTGAACTATATAAAAATGTTCAATGCAGTCCTTTCCATTAATTCAAGTTCGGGGACTACATTGAACATTTTCATATAGTTCAGGGACTGAATTGAACATGTACAAAAAGTTCGGGGATGACATTGAACAAAATAAAATTTCAGGGACCACATTGAACATTAGCCTAAAGTTCAGGGACTACATTGAACAAATTAAAAGTTCAGGGGCCAAATTGCACATTAGACCAAAGTTCAGGGACTGTTTGTGTCATTATCCCTAAATATTAATCAGGATCGCTCAGATTTGGGTTTTTAATCATCGCACAAAAAATTGATTTGATCTTAGTTTAGTTGGAAGAGCAAGTGCACGCAAGCAATTGCTGTTGGTCGATGAAACTTTTGATATTGAAATGACATTGACCTTGCTTAAGAATTATTGCTGGATTCGAGAGAAATCCTTCGGAAAAAACTTCACGTAATGAGCTGTCTTCCCGTCGATGCGTCGTCGTCGTCTACCCATCGGTGAAATATGGATAGGAAACGTACCCGGAATGCGAATGACCAATCCTGTCGCGACCGAATTGGGATCGGTTTCTTTCTTAAATTACTAAATTTGATGTTAAGGGGTATAGGTCGTGTTGCTAATTAGATTATGTCAATTGGTTGTGGAATCAACATCAATGGTAACTTTTCTTTGATTTGTTTCATTCTTTTACGTCTCTTCGACCTACCAGAAGAAGATATGTTTCCCACAAATTCAGGCACTTGAATATTTACTAGCCACGTAATGCCCGAGTTGCGATTAACCGGGTGTTACGCATACGGAAGATTGATTTATGTAAGTAGAATACTCAATGATGCGACAGAATTCGAGCGAAAATATAAATGTAAATGGATTATATATAACGCCCGTTTAGACCCGTTGAATCAAATGATATTCTAATTAGATGGTGTTTACACCAAAAAATGATTAACTTTCGGTTATTATCAATAGGTAATAGACTAGTTGTTGAGAGCACAGTTTGGTTATTTATGAACATAATCATCGACAACTTAAAATATTGACAACTTGATGAATCGACAATTAGTATGAATCAACAAAAAGTGGAGTCGATGATTCCGGATGCGACCGTCAAAGAAGTAAATGTCAACGCAGTGAAATAAAACAATCGTCAAGACAGTGGAGTCGAAGAAACCGTCAAGACAGTGGAGTCGGTGAAATTGTCAAGGTAGTAGAGTTGGCGTAACCGTTCGCTAACCTTTGACGTAACCATTCGCTAACCTCAGTTTGTAACCTCATTGGTAACTGTTGATTGTAGGTTTTAGATTACCACAACGTACTCTTCGAAAATCCCCTAAAAAAGCAACACAAACTTGTTAACTTTCAATTATATTTCAATTCTTGTATTGTAGATACAACAAGTTTCAAGATATCTCACCGTCGATTAAATTCCGGCGTATATCTTGATTGTAGTTCCTAGATACTTAGTTGTCGCCTGGATTTGGGCGAGGGCTCGAGGCCCTCCCCTATGCTCAGAGATGATCACCGGTCCAAAATGTAAAAAAAAAAATAAGAAAAAATTTAAAAAATTGTAAAAATTTGTTCACGTCAGCGTCAACCTGTCACGTCGGATGGTTGGCATTTACGTCAGCGATTTCTGGCTTAAATTAGCCGGATGGACTGAATTGGTACCAATGTCAAAAGATTTAGAACTAAATCGATCAAATTAAAAGATTTATGATTGTGTTAATACCAATACAATAGATTTATGACTTTTTTGGTACTTTCTCAATAAGCATGTGATGCTTGAAATAACTATGGTTTTGAAGCGATTCATAGTCCCTAATATTAAAGTACGAGGAGATTACTTAGTGGTTGGCTCTTGATGATCAGAGTTCATGGTTCTAGCCAATAGTTATCAACTCCAACCGGATCGTCTTCTATCGACTCAGGTTCTAAAAAAGGTCAATGACAAAATACACAAGCATACGTAGACATTCAAACCCACCACCACCTCCTCTATACCAAAACATTAAAGAAATGCTTGTCAACAATGCTTTCACAAAATAATATAATGAGTAGTTCCATGTACAAACTTGGAGCATCTGATGGAATTTAAGATTTTAGGACCACTTTTTCCATGTTAGATGAGCATCGACCATCGGTTGATATAGTCATTAGAAAATCGTGGCTGAAATTTGTACCAATCTCTTTTTCTCTGTAGTTGCTTGGTTGGAGAATTTTTCTGGATTAGAACACTAAATAAAACGTGACCCGAAAAGCTATTCGAGGAGTCTATTTGATGCGGCCTTGCAAATGTCGTGATCCGAGTAATGGAATTCTACACGGCTCGTACTCAATTGAGGCCGAATTTGTCCATACCCGACGAAGCGATAGGTCGAGCCGAGTTGAAACATACTTCCATGTGATTTAGAGCACTCTTCGATGGTAAGGCATGAATCTCCTGATTGCTCATCGAGATCAAGAAATCCAAATTCGCCCGTGCCGCTGTTTTGTCTTGTCCATGGTGTAAGGGACGATTCTAGCTATACTAGAACTAGCACTCGGCGGTGCGGTGACGACGGACTCTCGCTCAAAATTAACGGTAGCTAGCGATTCGAACCGAGCTTTCGGATCGAGGATGCGAAATTCCTATGGTAAAGCCAAGGGAGATCGTCGAGAGTTCGCCTCGCCCGTCGCATCTTTTTGCCATTTATTAAAAAAAAAGAAGGCTAAATATGTCCATGATTTAAGGAAATTAGGGAAAAAATGCAACTGGCTAAATAAAAAGAAGAGAACGATTTGTTGGGCAAATCGATTGGATCCCAAACACCGGGCCTGAAAAAGTGATGTCGAGTGATTGTAGTTGAATCAGAGGCCTTGCCCCAGTCTAGGCTCAGGTCCAATTTCAATTGGGAAAGCATTGGGCAAAACTCCATAACTTTAGAGTCTCTCTCTCTTCCTCTTAATTACGAAAAACGAATATGAATTGGGCTCGCATACATACGAACGAATTCACGCAAGACTCTTCGATTTGACTATTGTAGTAATCCGGTGAAAGTGTAAATTTAATGACGGACATCCCGTCCTGTCGAGGCAAAAAACAGGGCTATGATTTCAATAAGCCTCTCGCCCGCACTTTGCCTGCCGACCGGGGCAAATGACGAAAGGACTTTGCTTTCCTAATGCCGCGTTTCGAAAAGTTTTGGACCGAGTCTAGACGATTTCCAAGTTCAACTCAATGTTGGAGGGAATCTATTTTCGGATACACGATTAACCTTAATCGCTCTCACTCGCTAGCCCCTCGTGGGCCCGTTTAAGTCCCGGCACTCGAATTTTTCACGCCGCTAATTGTACATGAACAGGTGTCCTATTTCAATACGATTGTCGCGACCCCCTCGCTTCATCAATCCGGCCTATTTCGTTCGGATCTAAGCGAGCGAGCATTGATCTCGTCAAGGTGGAGAACTTTTCATAAAAAAACAGAAGAAAAAAACGATGTCTTTATCTCATTGATGCTCGCATAACTCTTCGTTCTCGTGTTAACATAACACGGACACGGGCTCGCACGGGACCGACCCGTCGAGAGAGCCGCCCTTTGCATGCTCCCCTGACTCGTGTGAGCTCGGTTAAATCTTTAACCGTAAAACGAAGTAGATCGCGGGCGAAACCCTCGTAGATTGAAAGAGCGTGACCGAACAAGCTATCTTGCATCGGAATGTATAGAGAATCGTTCGTGTATCAGGGAGACCTTATCGGATCAACGCGTCCTTTGGGCGAAAAACTTCCAAACGTTCATATCAAAGCAAACCGACAAAGGTCCCATGTAAAAAGTTACACTTTTGAAGGGACAGCCATCGAGAAAAAAAACATGGCCCATCCCATTTCGTCCTTGGCATCTTCCACGAACCCCCCTCCTCCTCCTCCGTAAGAGGACCGGCGTGTCTCTCTCTCGTTTCCGCGTTCGGTGACAAAGGACCCAGAAGGCCCCCGCCCCCCCCTTCTCCTAAACAATCTGAGATGGGGAGCGCATGGATGCACGTGCTCTTCCTCCTCCTGGCCGCCATCTCCGCCGCCGCCGAAGCCGCGGCGGCGTCCGGGGGCGAGGCGCTGCGGCGGGAGGCGGACAGGGTGAGGGGCTTGCCGGGGCAGCCGGCGGGGGCGAGGTTCAGGCACTACGCGGGGTACGTGGAGCTCCAGCACCCCGACGAGCACAAGGCGCTCTTCTACTGGTTCTTCGAAGCTCAAGCGGACGCTCCTCGCAAGCCTCTCGTCCTCTGGCTCAATGGAGGTCTCTCTCTCTCTCTCTCTCTCTCTTAGCGTTCTCGCACCATCGCTCACGGCAAATGCGATACGATTCTTCTGTACAGTCGTGGATTCACTTCACTTCACTTCACTTCACTTCACAAGTGTGGGTCTTACCTCTTTCTTGGTTCAGCCTGTCTTGACCTCCTACAATCCTCATGAACAACAAGATCGACATCGGCTATATCTGTCCTTTTGCCCCCGGTTTTCCGATCAATCTGTCTTGAAGTTTTCTCGAGGAAATAAGATAAAGAGTGCGGAGTTATGCGCACAGCAAGATATGGCAAGTACATTATCTTCTTGGTTAACATACTAAGAAACATAGACATCCGACGTTTGCCTGCACGTCCAGAGAAACATCAGAGCAGAGCCGTTACGGCCACTTTTGTCTGCCTGTATTTGCTGTCTTTTGGCTTTATTACAGCATAAAAGCTGCAGTATCTTGTCTTCTTTTTCGAGATCAAGCAGAAGATGCCTCATTGGTAACCGAAGCATGGGCACGCACGAAATGCACTTCGGGATTCTGATCTTCAACACTGTATGTGGGCACGCAGAGAGGCAGAGAGAGAGAGAGAGAGAGAGAGAGAGAGAAGATAAAGACGAAAGTGTTAAAAAAACTGGTTTTTTTTTTAACGCATTTTTGGCTGTCAACAGTCAACAAGGAGACACTTTTCTTCGGGGAGACAGCTTTTTGGCACCAAAAGGAAAGTGGGGGAGGAGCATCTTCCTTTTTGCTTTCAAGAAAGGCGCCCGTTTAAATTCATAAACAGTAAAAAGAAGTGGCTAAAATTAAGGATATCATTCAAATTAAAGATGATGGGCGTTTGAATTGAACCAGGGCCTGGATGCTCGTCGGTGGCCTTTGGAGCTGCACAGGAACTGGGTCCATTCCTGGTCAGGAAGGACCTCCATAATGGAACACATCTCGTTCTCAACAGATTCTCCTGGAACAGAGGTATATCTCACAATGTCTTTTCGTTTTGAATCTGCTCATTGAATTTCTTGAATCGTTGGTGTTGCGAAGAAGATGAAGAAGAAGAAGAATGGGCCGTCCGTTGATTGGTGAGAGCATTTTGAATCTGTGAATGTGTGCAGTGGCAAATCTGCTCTTCTTGGAGGCGCCGGTGGGGGTCGGGTTCTCGTACACCAACAGGTCGGAGGATCTGAGCAGGCTCGGGGATCATGTCACGGCCGGCGACTCTCATTCGTTCTTGATGGGTTGGTTCCAGAGGTTCCCAAGTTTCAGATCCCATGACTTCTACATCGCCGGAGAGAGCTATGCAGGTCTCTATCCATAACTCTAGCTAGAAGTCCCGAACGTTTTACCCGGCGATCAATTGAGTCTTAAATGTCTAAAAAAATTGCAATTCAAGTCATAAATTCATAATTAGTCCGGCGTGACTTACTTCGATGCCGCAAAATTTCGACGGACGAATGCGCTACGGATTCTATTACGCGTTTTTTAAAATGTTTTAAGACTCAATTGACTGACAAGCAAAACGTTTATAGCTTTTGCCATGCTTGTCCAATCTATAATTCTATATGCCGTATACCTTTCATACACGGGGCTTAAGTTTCCGTGTGTTCCAGGGCACTACGTACCTCAACTTGCAGAAGTTATTTATGAGAGAAACAAGGGAGGACATGGCTCCTTCATCAATCTCAAAGGTTTCATGGTAATTTTGTCCTCCAATGATTGTGTTTTTAACCATTGTAAATCCTACTTCAAGTTACGTGGTTCCTTAATTACTCTGCCCTTCCTGAGTTAAGAATTCGTTTTCCCTGATTACTTTGGATTTGCACAATCATTTTCTCCAGTTTCTTTCCCCTAAGGAAAGATGTGGTACAGCTATTGATTTATAGAACCAATTGCATAGTTCATGAAGAATGCGTTGACATACTAATAGTGATTAGCTTCGCTACATTTAACAATGCTGAAGCGCAGATCGGGAACGCGGTGATCAATGATCCGACGGACACCCAGGGACTAATCGACTACGCATGGAGCCACGCCATAATCTCGGACCAGCTCCACGACGGCATCTTCAAGGAATGCGATTTCAGCTCGAGCAACATGACCGTAACCCTGCTTTGCTCTTCCCTCTTCAGGGACTTCTTGGTAGCTTACTCCGACATCGACATTTACAGCATCTACACTCCGGTTTGCGACCTTCCCGACTGGTCTGCCGCCCAAAGGCTCACCATCACGCCTCGACTTCTCGCCGGCCATGTGAGAGTCTAGCCTAATCTGTTTCGTTTTCTTTTCACTCTGATTTTTACAAGATTAGAGTCGCAGCTTGTCGCTCACTTCCTACGCTGCCCTTAACAAACATATATTCGATGCGGTGTCTGATTAATCAGGACTTGCGGCAGGAGTTGCCGTCGGGTTACGACCCGTGCACGGAAGAGTACGTCGAGGAATACTTCAACAGGAAAGATGTTCAGATCGCCCTCCACGCCAATCTCACCGGACTCCCTTATCGCTACACAACTTGCAGGTACTCTTTCCTCTCGAGATCAGATCGTTTTACGACTCGATAAATCAGTAAAATTTTAAAAAATTAAATCAAAGAGATACAGGCGCATGATCTTGATTCACTTCGATTATCAAACCAGCAGTTTAGCGGATCAAGTGTTGGGTAAGTAAAACGGTACACCGTGCGTCATCCACAAAAACATAACCCTGAATTTGCTCAGGAACCTCAGTGAAAGAATATGAGTAATCCAGGGTGATGCTCTGTTTTTACAGTGAAGTGTCGAAACACAAGAACCGAGCGAGCGTCAGAGAGAGAGAGAGAGAGAGTGAGACAGAACCAAGAGCTCTGGACCATCCACCGGTAGATCATCATGTGTCAATTCCTCTGTTTCCGTTCTGTTTAGTAATTGTAGAGTGAACTTAATGACTGCCGGGAAGATGGACCGTCACTTCTTCTCCCTTTCATACTTCACGTAGTCGCGTTTACGTTCCACCTCCAATCATTCGAGCCCTCGATCTTTTGTCGCTATTCGTTCTCGTCCTCATTAATTCTTTTGGGGACCAATCTTGAATTTGCCCCCTTTGCCTCGTACCGAAAGTAGCTGCACGGATCCGCCATTAAAATTGCCCCTCTGGATGTTCTTTATCTATTATCATTTTACTCGACCTCAGCAGTCAAAAAGATGTGAAAGTTAAAAGAGAAGCCCCAATTAACGCCGTGGTTTACGTCCCTGATGATCAATGTGCAGCCGCGTGATTAAGGGCTGGAAGGAATCTGCAGACACCATATTGCCCATCATCCGCAAGCTCTTGGACGCGGGTCTTCGCATTTGGATATATAGGTACTCTCGCTATGCGAATCTCTCTCCCCCTCCTCTCTTCTATTGAAGTATGGGTTTAGGGACTTCGAGTATCGGAATGAGGTTGAATTCGACGGGGACTCTTGCGATGCAGCGGCGACACCGACGGGCGAGTGCCGGTGACGTCGACGAGGTACAGCGTGAAGGAGATGAAGCTGAGGGTAAAGGAGGAATGGCGGGCGTGGTTCCACAAGCAGCAGGTGGCCGGCTGGGTGGAGATCTACGAGGGCGGGCTGACGTTGGCCACCGTGCGGGGCGCCGGCCACCAGGTCCCCGTCTTCGCGCCCGACCAGTCCCTCTCGCTCTTCACCCATTTCCTCGCCACCGACGCCTTGCCGTCTACCCGTCGCTAGCGAGCCGATCCACCGAAGCTCCGCATTGCTTCTGTTCTTTTAAGGGGCTTTTGATTTGACAAGCGAATGATCGATAATTCGTCTGCGTGATCCGGAGTTTCTCGCTGTTTGCGTTGGTACGATATCCGGCTACTATTTGGTGTGCTAATAATTATAAGATCACATTCACCATCGATCATGGCGCAAGTTGAACGAGATGAAGGGCATCAAAGCCGATGCGAAAACCCTTCAACATTTCCAAGATACACGATCCAATTCTCCATCATTCGTTAACAGATCTTCTGTAATTCAAGAAACGCACTGGAGGAGGAAGATGAACAGAGAAGCAAGAAAAAAGCTAAATTAAATTACCCAAGTAGGCCCTTCTCGAGGGATGCACAGTCCACGAGGTAAGCGAACCCGTAGGCCATGTTCTTGAGCGTCGCCACGTGCAGGTCCTCGCTCGACGTCGCCGTCGCGTCGGTCGAGAAGAACACCCTGAACCCCCTCACGAACGCCTCGCGCGCCGTCGTCTCGCAGCACAGGTTCGTCATGACCCCGGCCACGATCACCTCCCTCACGCCCATCCCCGCCAGCCGCTCCTCCATGCCCGTGCCCCGGAACGCGCTGTAGGTGTGCTTCCGCACCACCGGGTCGCCGTCCCCGCGGTCGAGCCCCGGCATCAGCTCCGCCTCGCCGGAGCCGTCGAGGATGCGGGAGTCGTGGCCCCACCACTCGGCGAGCGAGGGGTAGTCGGACGGGTCGGCGTCGCAGTGGCGGGTGAAGAGGACGGGGACGGAGGCGCGGCGGCAGAGGCGGATGGTGGCGTTGAGGGCGGGGAGGATCGGGGCGGCCATGGAGGCGAAGTAGTTCTGGACGTCGATCACGAGGAGGGCGCAGGATTTCGGGTCGGGTTTCCGGGTCCGGATGTTGTATTCGGCGTAGGACGACGATGGGTTGAGGGGTTTGGCGGCCATTGATTCTCCGCTGCGTGGGGATCGAACGAGAGAGAGAGAGAGAGAGGAACGAAGGCTTTCTGAGCGTGGAGAGAGGAATATTCCGTCGTTGATGTTCGAGGAGGTTCTTTTTGGGGAGTTGAAATTACCAGTTTATCCTCCTCAATTAGATGATCAATTATTGCTTCTAATGTTTCATTATTGGCCTTTCACATCACATAACGTCATTAATCATAGATTAATTCAAGAGATTTGATTTGGCCGAGAAGATTATTGGATGAATTAGAGCGGTTTGATGTAACGCTCTTGTATTTTGATAGAGTGTATATCGTATTTAATTGTGCGTAAATCGTATCGACAGCCACCGTACGTGAAAGTCACTTTTAAAATTTTACCGTTACGACTACTTGGTATATTGACGGAATTAGTTATATGGTATGCATAGGCAAATGGCTATCAGAGGTGGTGAATTACTCACTTGGTCCGCGATTTGCTCGCCCAACCTCGAGGCGGGCTCATTCGCAATAGTGTTTGCAAGCCAGCATACATCGGAAAAATATGAGGAGATCGAAGTCTAAGATAAGAAGAGTGCGCATCAGAATCTGAATGGGATTTCGGAGTGCTACAGGTGGTCTCTGTGCAATTGCGGGTGCGACGCTGCGGTTCGGGGCGGCGGCGGTCGGCATGGTTGGCCACCGGATCGAAATTAAGGTGATTGTGGAGTTCAAACGAGTTTGCGGAGATTGGAAGGTTCTCGGTCGCTACTGGTAAAAGAGTCGATTACGTGATGCATTATCTCCTTGGGAGAGGAGTTTTTGTACGTTTTTCTTTCTTTTTTTAGGGGCGGGGGGTGATGACGTGGAACACGGCCATGGCGCTCAGTCAAGCTCTGGTGCCTTCTAGACCCTTCTTCTTCTTCTTCTTCTTCTTCTTCTGCTCCGAAGATCATATTCTCCCATATTCACCAATCACCACACGCACGCACACTTGCATTTGCGCGCAGAGAGAGAGAGAGAGAGAGAGAGTAGAGAGAGGGATGTCGTACTTGTTGCCGCACCTGCACTCGGGATGGGCGGTGGATCAGGCCATCCTCGCCGAGGAAGAGCGCGTCGTCGTCATCCGCTTCGGCCACGACTGGGACGACACCTGCATGCAGGTAGGTAACGAACCACACCCCCCCCCAATCGCAAGTCCTTTTGCGATGCGCTCTCATTTCGTTGCATTTACCGTCCTCGTCTGCTGAGGCTGAATGCGTCGATCGATCGCGTCCGTTTGAATTTTGCTCGCATCTGTTCATCGGATCTTCGTAATCTTCTCCTGTTTCCGTTCCTTAGATGATCATGGCGATGCAGATTGATTACGAGGACGAACCTTCTTCTGACTAGGATCGAGAGGAGGTAGATTTTCCCCCCAATTTTGAATCTGTCTCCACCATTTTCCTCTTGGATTACTTCTTTTTTCTCGTTGAGCAGCAGATGGATATGGAGCTATGTCTGCTGCTGAATTCATGTTAATTCGCATCTTTTACTGTTCTTCATCGCCTTGGGGGGATTTTTTTCTTTTTTTTGTTCGCCAATTTTTCCGTGAATATTCGACGGATATATTGCGTCATATTTCGGAATAAGGGACCGACTGACTGACCGGCGGAGAAAATAAAAGTTAAAAAAAAAAATAGGCTAAATAAATCACACGCACCGAACTGCCCCAAGCGCAGCACGTCGCGCGTGGGGCCCACGCGCGACTTGAGGAAGAAAGTCGCGATGCGAAAGACGGCATCCCGGCTTTGGGAGCGACGCATTTTGTTAGACGCTCGTCTTCAAGTTCGTCGCTTGCATCCATCGCTAGGGCTCGGAGAAGCGGCGAGCGAAGCGCGATCCAGCCGTCGATCGATCGGGTCGGACCATGTCGTATCTGCTGCCCCACCTGCACTCCGGATGGGCCGTCGACCAGGCCATCCTGGCCGAGGAAGAGCGGCTCGTCGTCATCCGTTTCGGCCACGATTGGGACGAGACCTGCATGCAGGTTCTCTACCCCCCCCCCACCCGCTCTCCTTGACTCCCTCCCTCTCTCTCTCTCTCTCTGTTTCGTTCTCGATGGCTGGCTACTTGCTTCCGTTTGGGGGTTCTGGGTTCGTGTGGCAATTAGTTTGTCGGCTGATTTAGGGTTTTGAGGATCTAGGACCGCTAAAATTCAGGCCTTGGCGAATTTGTATGTGTTCGCCCTGACCTGACGGTTTCCTGCTTCTTAATTGTGCTATTTGTGAGCTCAGCTTGGGGAATTTGTGCTTCGGAGCTGATTAGAGCTCGGCTTCACTCTCTTTTGCTTGCTTGGATCGGTGCTGATTTCGTCTCGGATCATGCCGTCGATTGAATGGGATTAGGTTTTTGAGATTCTTGGATCGATACGAGAAAACGCATCGAGCGTTGTTGGGAGCCCTCGCTGTTCTGTTTCTAGTAGTTTAGATGGTTTTACTTGAAGATTCTTCTTTGTTCTTTGGTTGTGGTGTGATCTAGTGCAACCCCTCTGGGCGTTTTGCTGGGGTTCCCAGAGTTTGAAACGAGGTTGCTGATGCTCCTCGTCGTGGGTCTCTGGACGGAATTGATCGATCAATGATAGTTTACTATAGAAGTCAAGAAGCTCTGTTCTCTTGATGTAATGAGTTTTAGCTTTTCATCAATCTGTACCGAGGCTTCGTTTGTGACTAATCATGTCTGTTAATGAATGCACTCCTCGTCTATCAGAAACAAAAAAAGAAAAGCTGCTTGTGACCTAAGCTCTTTCATTTTGTCCCAATTTTGTGACGAATATGCTGGCATATGCATTTAGTTGCTCACTGCTTTAGTTGTAAGCCATAGCCAATCTTTCTACTTTCTTTATGTCGACCATCACGTTGGGTTTTACCTGGGGATGGTGAGAAAATTCTCAAGGCCATATCATCGGGATACAAACTTTTTGTTTCTTAAATGCTCAAGAACTGATCCTGCAGCATGCGGAAACAATTAATTCGGGTGGACGACTGTTTAAATGCTCTGTGTAGCCACTGGATCTATATGGTACTTTTGATTGTCATCTAGCTACGTAAATGGTATGAAGCATTGTGCAGTGCTGTGAAGGATACCTAGCTTTTGGCCTTAAAGATCTCCGTAAATCATTTTACCAGAGTACAAGGAAAAAAGCGTCATTACTATGCTGATTATGCCTTTGCTTCCTGTATGGATCATCATGAGATGTCATGTTATTGTCATTTTCCTTTCTATAGATTTTAAGCACTGATGGCCTTCATTTGGGTAATAATTTGTATGAATTTGGGTTTTGCAGATGGATGAAGTGCTGGCATCAGTTGCTGAGACCATAAAGAACTTTGCTGTCATATACCTTGTGGACATAACCGAGGTGCCCGATTTCAACACCATGTATGAGCTTTATGACCCATCCACAGTCATGTTCTTCTTCAGGAACAAGCACATCATGATAGATCTTGGAACTGGAAACAACAACAAGATCAACTGGGCTCTCAAGGATAAGCAGGAATTCATCGATATCGTCGAGACGGTATATCGGGGTGCTAGGAAGGGTCGTGGTCTGGTCATTGCTCCCAAGGACTACTCCACTAAGTACCGCTATTAATTCTCTGTGCCAAAATGTAGTTATTGGGTGCATGCAAGTCTTCAGAAACCCATTGCGACCTTTGTCTCTCCTCAATTGGATGAATCTGTCTTTCAGTGAATACTCCATACGAAACTTATGGAGCTTTTCTGACTGGGTACGGCATATTGGATAATTTGATAAAGTTATGAACTGCTCCCTTATTGTGTTGTGCGGCTGATATGTTGTTTCATTTGTGTATGAATGATGTTATTGAATCGATGAGAGCAAGAAGGGATAGCTCCTAGGGTTTCGAAAAGACGCGGCCAAGTTCAGCCAAAAACGGCCATGAGATCATTGGTGCATTGCCAAAACTTGCAAAGGTAAATCAAGTTTGTACATGACATGATTTGTAGAATATTGACGCCAAGGTAGTGTTTGTCAGTCAGGTGCGATGATGGTTAACTTCTGTTCAGACTGTTTTTCCTGGATCATTGAGATGGGGAAGTCGTGCTTGCCAAATTTAATAAGCTATAGGGTAGAGGCGAGTTCTCCCGTGCCCACGTGTTTACAAGGAAAAAACGCAAAGCAAAGCTCGATTTACGAGGCCGAAGCCTTACCTTCAATAGTTCAATGATTTCTAATGGCAGAGATTCCAGCAAGCCAAATTTGTAATTTAGTTTTGGTCAAAACAGAAGGCCGTGAAGCCTTGAGGGTTAGAAAACTGCGCAGGTAGAAACAGAATACAACCATCCAGTCCCGCCCTGAATGTTTCGTTTCTACTTCTGTTGGGACGATGCTATGAAAGTTTAAAATGTTAGCAACGAAATGATGGAAACAATCACAGCATCAATAATCTATATTATAGGCAAATTCAATGATTGCGCTGAGCATCTGTATCAGACATTCCTCCGACTTAGGGGGTGTGTATCGAAATTGTCCTACGTACCTGTGACTTCTTTGGGTATATTCTAACTATACAATGCGATTCACATTTTCTTTGGTTCTTTATCTGATCCCACTTTGCTTAGAGCGGCTTCTACTAGCCCTACGACCACCACACCAATGAAATACCATGTCATCCCAGCTAACAGTACCTGCATCCAGGAGCTGTTAACGATCTCCAGTGCTAGAGATCCGCCGAAGTGCTGTTTCAACTCACCAACCGTTCCATCCCCAACCTGTGACCTCACGATTGCGGCAGCAACCGAGGCTGCACAGATTGGAAACGCCCACAGTAGTGGGTTCTTTGAAGTATTCCCCTTTGTGCTCGGACCAGGATCGCGTCTCTTTTGCTTTTTGTTGGATGAGGACTCCTTGGAAACTCTAGGAGCAGATTCCTCCTCGGTTGCGCTCGCAGACGGAAGCATGTGGTGGGTGGGAATCCAATACTCATCATGGTATAAGCGGCTTACGGCGGTTCGTTTGGCACTCGCAGATTTGGAACTTGCCCATTTCCTGGACGCCGCAGCATCGCGGAGTTTCTTGATGGTTGGTTCACTTGAATCTCCAGTTCTACGTGTCAGGGCTTTGCTTCCTATGTCGGGCGATTGCCAGTATATCCAGTTCGAGATAGACCTGATTGCCTGGATAGCTGAAACTCGAGCCTTTCTCTGTAGATCAGTCTGCTGGAAATGAACTTCCCATGATTAAATATCTCGGTATAACAGCATGAGTAAAGTGTAGAATGCAAACATAAAGAACAGGTGATACACATTTGTCTCCTGAGTTATGTTATGAGAGGCAACTAATTCACGAGGCAGATGTAGATTCGATAGGCACAAATCTAAACTAAAACCAAAAAAGTGCTTTCATAAACTCAAGATTTTAGCACGACCGCGCCTCATACTATAATCATAATGAAGAAGAAGCCAAAAATCCACAAGCCTAGCTCTTAATCTAAATTAGGAGAATAAACCGTTGCACAAGCAGTTCTCTAAGGCAAAGCACCTCTTCGACCAAAAAAAAAAAAAGGCAAAGCACCTCTTTTGTTCAAAAAGTTTGACCAGTCATAAAGCAGTAACTAGATCGGTTGGGTGAGAGGTCATGACATTTTAGCCTTCCTAAAAGTCTCCATTGGAAAGAATTATTTCCACCAATAATTGTCTAGGCCAATTCCAAAATGGCCCATGGTGAGGCCAGTTTAAGTGAAAATTTTGACATGTAGAACACAACTTTCTCCTGAAGGGAGTCCGCAAACTAACCTCATCATCTTTTGTTGCAGCTTTGCCCTTCGCCTCAGTAACCCGGGTTTGAAACTTCTTCACATCAACGAATATGTTTGAGACGCGTGAACCAACTGAGTTGCCAGCACCAATTCTTACGTTGCCCCTTGGCTGCTTAGACATCAGAAATTCAAGAGCTGCCAGGTCCGATCTCTCAACCATACTGTATTCGTGAAAGAAAAAGAGTATAAGCAGAATTCAAATTTCTAACAAAGTTATATATAAGGCAAGTTAAGATCACACCACGTTTTGGTCACTTTCGCTACCACTCACACAAATCGAAAACATCGTCTGAGATGCCTCCAGATTGAAGAGACAGTTCCCAAAAACAGAGGGAACATACCTGATTTCGAAGCTTCAAGCTAAATTCCCATGTTTCACTTTTTGGCTCCTCAATCATGTCTTTCTTATTTTTGAATTATGTCATGTAAAAATTTCTTTGAGCATCCAGTTATCCACACAGTATTTGACATGCCTTTGCCTGTACCATCAGCAGGGCTACTTAAGCATTAATGAGAAATTAGATGAGATCTTACGAGATGCAATCCACGGGACAAGCTTCTATTGCTTCTTGAATCTTATGGTCGGGGTCAGCCCACTGTGCAACAACCCGTGCTCTCCCATAAACCGACTCGATCGCGAACGTCCTTTCTGCGCATAACGCGCATTTCAAGCAGCCAACGCACTTGACCTCGTCCACGAACACCGCTCTCTGTTCGCTGTCGGACCCGAGCCATACCGAGTAGATAGGCTTCCCTGTGTACCCTCGAAGTTCAGAGGTCTTTGCTTGTTCCTGTACGGACGCGCATTACACTTGTGATTAACATCAAGCTTCCAGTTTCACCTCCATGACTAAAACATGACCTTAAGCTTCAAGTTTGGAGAAGAACAAGAAACTCATCAACATTACAGAGTAAAAAACCAAAATTTAAGCAATAGTGCAAACGATTCCCACCGCAAACCACAAACCGATTGTTTACGAATTACTTGTACTCGCAGAACTGAGCCGCGCCGTGTCCGCCATAAGATTTCTCAAGTCAATCAGGCATCAGTAGCGAGCAATTACTAACTCTGATTTTCGCTCCTACTAAATCAGAAAGGCATTTGCTCTTACGTTTGCTCCCACAAAACATGCTGAGTTCCAAACGCACTCAAAGTACGAAGAGCATAATCTCGAATCGAAAAGGCGCTACGAAATCGAGCTGAAGATTTCCAGCGAAAAAGAAGGATGCTATTCATGATGAACTATATTTCCTGCTCTCCCCGTCTCGTTTCCGCCGTTCCGAGCAACAGCAGCAACAACAACAACTACTCAATCAACCAAATCCGAAACCGGAACCCGCGCGCGCGCGAACGAAGGACCGAGGGGGGCTGACCTTGTCGTAGGCGGAGCGGGAGGCGGGATCGGAGAGGACGGCGTAGGCGTCGTTGAGGATGATGGACATGTCGTGGCCCTCCGGGCCGGCGATGTCGGGGTGGCACCTCTTCTGGAGGGAGCGGTAGGCGAGCTTGACCTGGGAGTGGGAGGAGGAGCTGTCGATGCCGAGGAGATCGTACAGGTCGAAGTCCGTCATCATCCACGACGACGACGACGACGACGAAGAGGAAGATGCTCGGCATGATGCGGAGCGATGCTTCCTCGCGCCGAGCTCGAAACCGAAGCGATGGGGCTTCGAGGAGATCGTCGTCGCGATCGAAGCTGGGGGAGAGATTAGGCACGGGCTCGACGACGCGCGCATGGTTTCCGAGCAAGCAAGAACACGAGGGCGAGCGAGCGAGAGAGAGAGAGGCGTATAAGATGAGATTTTAGATATTTTTGGCGCCTCTCCGATGAGATATTTGTTGAACTTTCGTATTTTTTTGGCTCCTTTGGATCAATCGTCGTCAAGCTTTTCGAGGAGTTCCAACTCCGAACGTTTAGGACAATCCTTGGAGTTGAAGTGAACCACGTCGTTACAATCACATTTCCCGAATTATCGAAATTTATATCACTCAGAAAAAATTAATTAACACAAAATATTATCTTTATTAACAACAATCTATATTTAAATATTTCTGATGATGAAAAAAATTCTCATTTATTCATTTTTATAAGCAACACAAGTAATTAATTTAAAAAAACATATTTCAAATCAATAATTTTTCACAACTGCATACAGGATTTGCACTCATGTCGACCCAATAAATACTCCGATGCAATGCCACAACCCATAGAATTTTCACGATCAAGAATGAGAGCTATTGAGTGCAATTCCCTCGTTAGTTACGGTTACGGCCACAGAAAGACAACTCTGGCAAGGCCTTCGGTCTACTCTCGCCCGCTCAGACACAACCCTTAAAAGACTCCCTTGAACTCCCAACACTCACAAATTACGAGGATGGCTTCGATGCGACGACTCGCCTGCTCAGACACAACCCTTAAAAGACTCCCTTTAACTCCCAACACTTAAAAATTACGAGGATGGCTTCGATGCGACGACGCAAAGCATCAACCGGTGTTCTATCATGTGCCAAAACCTCACACGACATTTCGCGTATTTGCATCCCCTGAATTCCATCTTTAAGACGGCTCTCTGCAGGAGGTGGCTTCATGATCCAAAACTTCCAAAAGAAAAAGATTAAAAAAAAGAAAAACAGAACCTCAAATCCTTTTATATATCATCATATATAACCATAAGAGAATGATCAAGTCCATGCCAGGGATTAGAAGGATGCAAAGACAATATAGTCTTTTCTTGCAGAAGGAGCATGAGTATGAATCGGGTCGTTAGCCATTTTAAAGAACTGAACTCCTACGTCTATTATTTGAGCTAGCATGTAGCCTCCACAAGACTTCACTAGCTGTTCGCAGATCCAGAGACTTCGGCACTGCAAACAGGACAGACCTGCCAAGCAATAAAAAAAAAACCATAGATAAATTGAACCGTTTGCCTCTGCCACATACCGTAAAAAGCATGGACATACAGCAATGCAGAAGGCCTGCTGTATCGTCTTCCACACGCAAAAATATTATGCGCATACAGTCTTTGGTTAAATTCACAAGCCAGTGATGCAATACACCAATTGGAAATTTATGACCACTTTATTCATCACTAAGGGTGCATTTGGTTCTGTTTTGCCAAAGCCCTTTGGGGCCTTAAAGGCCCTTGGGCAAATGCAAATGGGATTTAGCAAAATTTTTGGGGAGGTTTGGGGAGTGCATCTCCAAAGCTATCCGAAGGACTTTAGCCTAAGGCACGTCCAGGATACTCTGGAATGCAAGTCTTCGATTTAATAACTTTTTTATTCCACTCCCCACGCTCACACAGAGGAGTCAAACAGAGGCCAACGATCGCCACTTGGAGGTCCCACAACCTTAGGCATGACCCAGGCGACGGTACAAACCCAGGGGACCTTTGCCAGGGCTCGCACGACCCAAGCAACGATGGCGCATGAGCCCATGCAACGCTAAGGTCGCCAGACCTCAAGCAGCCTAGCTTGGGGTCGTGCAACCTCAGGCAAGGCTGCAAGCAGCCAGATCTAGCCCGCCAGCAGCTGGACTGAGCCAGATCTAGCTCACCAACAGTCCGTCAGCAACCTGAGCCTCGGCAGAAATGTTTGAGATTTTTTATATAAAAAAAAAACTAGCAAAAGTCCTAAACAAAGTGTAGTTTTTTTCCAAACGGCATTTAAGTCAAAATTGCTTGCCAATGTGTATTAAATTACACTTTACCAAACACTATTTGCATTTTGGAAAACCCCTTTCACCTAAAGTCATTTGCATTTTCTCAAAGGCTTTCCCCCGAAGTCAAACCAAAGGCAACTAAGTATACGGATGTGCCACCTATCGAAAAGAAAAGTACGGGTATGTGCCAACCAAAACGAATTACTCTTGTTAGATAAAGAAAACAAACAACCCATGAACCGTTTTTTATAAGATCCATATCTTTCGCTTAAACATAAGTTTCAAAGAAAAACAGGTTCGAGATGATGGAATTCATTCTGCATTAATGGACATAAGAACATAATAAACTAGAGAGCCACAACGTAAGATGATTCGAGAAATAATCGTACCTTGTTTATTTGCAGCCAATTGTTTATGCATTCTGAATGATATGAATGTTTGCAAGTTAGCACAGTTAGCCTCTCACCATCCTCATAATCCAACCGGCAAATGACACACCTGAAAATACAAAATTTTTCATTGAGCTATCATAACACCCAAAACTGAACTATATGTTCGACGACGTGGAGTAAAAGCAAAAATAGGCACTTACGAATCATTGGTGCCATTCTGACTGCTGCCTGTCTTATAGCTAACAGAAGACAGAGAAGCAATTGTGTCAGCTGAAAGCCCTCTACTCTCAGTTCCAACCACATCACCTAGCGCGATCAACTCCTGCAAAATGAGATCAATGCTTAACATAATGAAAGCAGGAGATCCACCAAAAAGAAGGACAACAAGCTATCTTATATTCTTACCTCATATGAAAGTTCATCTGGATCGACGTCCTCCCACGTGTCCTGTAATCCCATCCACACATTAGAAGAAAGAATTCAGTCTTCACTTGAAAAAGAATGCCACAACAATCTACAAGAAAGTACATATAACAGACCTCAATTATTTGACCTAGCCTACTAGGCTACTATGGACAGATGGCTTACTAACTGCTTTAGTATTGTTGATTAACTCTTACTAGTTTATAAAGAAAGCAGAACGACGATTCATGCTTGTGCAAATGCGTGAATGTACACATGGCACCTAAAACTTTCGAGCTTGACTATATCCTGAGGCCTCAAAACACTGTCAGGGGTGTAAAATGAAAGCACGCTATGCATTTCCGCTGGGTAATATGTTCACTCCACTATTAAAATAATAATTACATTCCAAACAGCAGTCGCTTTCTAACACCATTATTAGCTCTTGCCTCCCACAGCTTGAATTCTTAGATTTTATTGTGCAACACATTTTCTATTTTATTGTAATGGTTAAGTCTTTACAAAATTCTTCCGAAGTTTAATGTACCCTACATACAAAAGGCAGTAGTAAAGTTCTAGGTAGAATAACATCATCATGAATAACTTCCAAAAACCTATCGAAAAGACAATGAGATCTCCCATTCTTGAATTGAATGGCCATACCGTGCACATTTGTTATATCAATGTCGCATATCCTATTAGTAATTCCTTGTCCCACCAGAATATCATAAGCATGGAGAGGTGGCATAAATTGCCCTTTTTTTCTGTCTAAGTAGGTCTAGATTAAAAACTTGATCACTATTAATGCCACTGACCCACTTCCCCGCCAACATGGGAGTCCACATTTATCAGGCTTTCAACTGTTGAAGCTGATATAATGATTACCCAACTTAAACAGAAAACGCGACAGTTAAAGCAGCTAAGCTGTCTCAACTTTCATCGATAATTAAGTAGCGCTGACTGATAGGAATGCAGCATCTCTCAAGTTATAGGGGGTTCTCAACAAGTCAGCCAGGATAAAGGAGGCATTCCAACGTTTTAGCGCATGAAGAACCCCAGCTTGAATATTCAGAAGAAGTCTCAACTACTTTTGCAACTAGAAAGAATAAGAAAAGCTTTAATATCACACATATGTTAAAATATTACCCTGCTAGCACTCCACACAACTTCCTTAGGCAACGCAACATTAGTCATCCACCAAGTTAAAGAGGGTTAGCACATATTTTTCTATATGTTCTAACTTTTACATTTCTCTATATCCAATATCAAACATAGCGGTATCGTGCATGGCATCCATTGTTTATGTTTTACTTGAACTTGTCCATCGATGAATGCTCTTGATGTTATTTATCTCCTGCGAACCAATCTCATCTTGTCCTCATTTCCTCAGCACATTGAGCATAAAACCCCATAATTGTGCCCATCAAGAAACTCTCTAGCAAACACAATAATCCAGGTAAAATAAACCCTGAGAATAATACGGCCAGGAAGGCAAAGCCTATCTGGCCTGATCATAGTATCTGAGAATGAGAAGAAGACATAGAAAATTGCAAGAGCTGCTTGAGCAACTCAAACCTAGTCAACAGGATTATTAACAGTAAGATAGAGAGAGGTCCCATGAGAAATTCTTCCCATTATTAATATCATAGCACATCGGCAGAATTAAGTATGCTTGTATACTAGAAAGGACTAGATGAGATTCAAACCAATCCAGCCTCTTCTGGCTGAGAAAGAGACAGAGAGAGACATAACAGATACCTGACTATCGGGAGAATCCTCTTCTTCTTCAACAGCCCCTGCAAACACAAACAGTTTTTTAAGATTTCAGCACTGTCGAAGCAGTAATATAAGGATAGATAACTGTATCATGAGAAACATGAGAAACACTCACGATCATTTAGCCCAGCAAGGGCCAACATTCGAGCTGCCATTTCTCTCTCCTCAGCATCCTGTAAAGCTCTGGCATAGGCCTCATCACTTGAGACGTTTTCTGACTCAAGTTCAGCAGCTTGGTTGCTACCTCCATTAGCATCTTCAGCAGCATGCACATCAAAGGCATCTTCATCATCCATATCAGTGCCATCGTACGAGCCCTCAACGTCATTGTCCTCATCATCGGTTTCTTCATCAGGATCCTCGAAATCATCCTCGTCCGGTATGTAGCTCCCGCCTTCCCAACTTCCATAATCACTGCCGTCATTATTCAGTCTAAGCATCATGTAGGCCCTTTCCTATTCCGGAAACATATATTGTCAGTTGTTGTAAGCAGCCAAAAATAAAGGGCACTCTTGGATCAGAAATTTGCAGTTTCAAAATGAATCAGCACAGCTTAAAAATCCATTGGTGAGTAACGATTTGAATTAAGCAATTCGACTTGGATAAAACCCTTCGTCCAGAAAAGGGAAGAAGCAATATCTAAAAGCACAACACGACGCGTGGGGACTTTAAGGTCCAAGCTAAACAGCCATTCTACTAATCCGAAGTTTGAAAACTCGAACGCAAGTCAATTCAACGACACGGGACAATTCCATTTTCAGCAATAACAAGACGCGCTCAGGTCTTCAAAGTCTCAATTTCATCCACACGGGGCTCGAGAAGAACAAAACAGTGCGACCATCCACCGTCCTCCAAAAACACAATCGCAACTAACTTCGAGAATTACCGAGTAGCTGAATTTCAACCATCGGAACGACGAAACACGATCTTAAGGCAAACGGGTGGAGCGCAAGGGAGAGAGAGTACCTGTTCCTGCAGCGCACGGGCGAGAGCCCAGTCGGCATCGACCTGACTCAAGTCGGTGAACGGAGTCCTGCTGGAGGACCGCGGATTCGCCTGCGGCAGCTCCTGCGCCGCCGCCGCCGCCGAGGCCTCCTCCTCCTCCACCCCACCATCGCTCCCCGCCCGCGATCGCCCGGAGCCGTCGCCGCCATCGGACGCGACGGGGGCGAGCCCGTCGCCGGCGGGCCCCCCAGGGTTCTCCTGCCGCTCTTCGCGGGCCTCGCCCACGTCGGTTTTGGTCGCCTGCTTACCGTCGTCCGCCATCAGGAAAGCACGGTTCCGGGACTCGGGAACGGAGGTCGGAGGTTCGGAGGTACGGAGCCGGTCGATCGATCGGAGAATCGGAGGCGCACGAGAGATTGGAGAAGATGATGATGATGTTCGAGTGCGATTTTGATTGTAGGGAGAGAGGGAGAGAGAGAGAGAGGGGAGGACGGGGGTTGGGTTTTAAACTTGTGTAGACGCAGAGAAAAAGCTTTTTAGTGAATACGTAATTGTGGGGGCTTCAAAAAGCGGAGAGAGAGAGAGAGAGAGCGTGCGTGTGGAGAAACCGTGTATTTCCCGGACCACGTAAGTCCGCTGGATTTCGGACGTCGAATTGTATGGACCCCGCGCGGGACCAACGTAATCTAACGACGGAGATAGAGCGGGATCACACACGTGCGGGGGCGCGCGAGAGGGGATTCGGTGAGCGGAGTTGCGGCGTAATTTTCTAATTGGGCCCGGGCCCAACCCCGGAGAAACGAGGGGACCGCCGTGGGATTTACGTCGCTTTGCGTGGACCGGTTTGACCTCGACGGGCCGGCCCAACCGCAGCTCGTCGGACCCGACCCGATCGCTTCGGCCCAAAATGAGTGGGCCCGTCATGTTTGCATTGTCGCGTCCCTGTAAATCAAATGAAAAGCTCTTTTAAAATCTGTCCTCGATGGTCAAGGCCTTTTTGTCAAGAATTGGCACATTAGGTCCGCAAGACTTAACAAGCAAGAGTCGAAAAAATCGATCACGCAACTTTATCGGCTCTTTCGACCAAATAAAAAAAAATACTGTATCAGCTCGGACATATACTTACACCATAGGTGGGCCGCCTTCATAGATTACATGTTGATCGCATTAAAGAAATGAGCTTAGGCCTCCATTTGTTTCGCGGAAAATGTGACTTCTCTAGAAAATGTTTTACAGGAAAATGACAATATTTTTCCGGTGTTTAGTTGAAACTCGAAAATGAACTAGAAAATATTTCCCCTTTGTTTGATATGAAAAATCTGATTTGATTTTCCTAAATAGATATATATTATTCAGGCACCAGTAACTTACGTATCGATAATCAGGAAATTGGGTACAGACACTAGAGTCGGGGGTCTAACATTGGTGGACCCTGACTAGGGCACCGGGATCGGAGCAAGAGCACTTGGGTCCCAAGCCCAGCCTTGATGGACCCAAGTACAGAGACCGAGGTCCCAAGCCAGGCCTCGATGGACCCCGCATGGCCTTTTGTGGAACCAGGCCTAGGTTTTGATGATCCGAGCTCTGGTATTGGGATCCCGCACTCGGCCTTTATGGACTAGGGCTCGGGTGCTAGGGCATCGGACATGGGCTCGATGGATTCAAGCACGGGTGCTAGGGGCTTAAGTACGGGCACTGTGGTCCCGAGCTCGATCTTGACGGACTTGGGCACGGGCGCCGTGGATCCAGGCACTGGCATCGAGGTAAAGGGCCCGAGTGCCAGAGACTTGGTCCTAGATGCCAAGGACCCGAGAACCAGTGTTGGACTTTCTATACCCAAATGTAGAGTTTCGAATCAAGCGTCGATATCTAGTTATATTTTTGAAAAATAATTTCTAATTTTTTTTAAAAAAATTTATTTATTCTGAACTTAAGCATATGGTTTCTATAAATTCATTTTCCTAAACAAAACAAATGTCGGAAAAATGGGGAAAATGTTTTCCGAAACAAACGGATCCTAAAGTAATTATTGTTTTCATCCCAGCCCGCCCGCCTCAAGTCACCCAAACCGTCCGGCACGCCCAATTCCACAAGAGAACTTAATTTCCTGCAATCGCGGACGAGTCTACAATAGGATTTTCAGATCCGCAAGGTCCACGCATCGGCCGAGCCTTGTCAATCCATAAGAGCGCATTCTATGGGCCGCTCCCGCTCACTAGGGTTCCTCCGATCGGGGCGTTTCACCGGCCCACCTTGCAGCACAAGGCGAGCGAAAAGCTGGAAAATAGTGACAATCGACCTTACAAGAATTGAACATTCTCTTCTTGGGTTCCCTTTTTGTCCCTTCCAATTAGCGATCACGTGATTAAGCAAAACCTAATCCCAACGAGCACTCGGTGCCCAATTGACATCATCGTACGTCAAAATCAGGCCAAAATCCAGGAGGGTGACCAGGCGAGAAAATCCCACGCCACACCACCTTCGCGTACACTCAATCAAGCCATCCGTCAACCCCAAAAAAGGTCAAAAAATTTCAGGTGTGGAAACGTCGCATGAAAATGTTTCCCGGTTTCACATTGGGCCGAGCAAGACATTTCCGAGAACCACACAAGAAAACAAGAAATAAAACAAATATTATATATAAAAATAATAATAATAATTGAGCTCGAGTTGAATAATAGAGCAGAGCATTACACAATAAATAATTCATTTTTATTTTATTTTATTTTTTTATTTTGGGGTCGAGTCGTTTTCTTACAATAACTCCAAAAGCTGGGAGAGGATGGGCTCCAGCTGTAATGACAGGTTGACAATTGTAGTTACGTTCTGGGCGAACTGTTCCCCTCCCCAAAATTGATCGCATCACCAACCTTGCCCTCCCTATCCATATTTTCGGTCCCATAATAATCCAATCCTGTCGGCTCGCGACATGCTTCGGGTGGGGTTCCGGTCACGGAAGCTGCGGTTAGCCATTCGACGTGGCGTCGGACGAGAGCGGGTGAGCCCTCGCCGGAGGCCACGCGAGGGTCGCCCGCTCGCGCCCTAGGCCGGCCCCGGTCCGATCGACGATATCGATAAGATATCTATAAAAGGGAAGTTTAGAAGCATTATTACAAGATCGAAGGCACACCAAAAACAAAAACTCGAGACTCATTCTTTCTGATTCCCTATATTTTTGTGGCCGGAATGACATGGCACATGCGCATCGTAATCTCCCATGCACAGAAGAGTACGTGATGTCTATTAATGGACCCAACACCGATCGCCACGTGCGGAAGATAAAAAAGCACACGGCCCCTGCCATTTTACTTTTGTAGCATTAACCTAGTTTTCTTAGATTACAAATTTCTCCATTTATAAAAGAAAAAGTCACAAAAAAAACTACGAATTACGCCCGCAATGACATTTTTACCCCGAATTTTTTGTAGCCAAAATTGTCCGAATGGACTGGATTGATGCAAATGCAAAAGATTTATGACTCAATTGGCACAAAAAAATGTTTATATCTGAAGTGATATAATTGCAATAGATTTATGATTATCTTGATAATTTTTCCCGTCGGAAGACGCTGACGTAGACGCCAGCCGTCCTATGTGGCGCAACCGACGATTACGTAGATAATTTTTAATTATATTTTAAAAATTATTACGATTTTTTTTATATTTTTTTCTTTTCACCTCTTTTTTTTCCTTTGTCTTTCCTTTTTTTTCCTCATTTCATCTTCAATCTCTACCCAGTCGCCGAGTTCCAGCAACTGGCCAGAGCCAAGGGCCAGCGAGGTCAGCCCAACCAGCCGTTGCTCGCCCCTAGCGAATAATCTCCGAAAAGGCTCTCGTTTTTTTATTAGATCCCATTCCATGGAAGTGATTTGGGATGGTGGCACAAATTGTCCACGAATTTTTAATTTGTTTAATGTAGTTTCTAGACTTCTTATCTGTTCAATGTGGTCCCTAAACTTTTGGTACATGTCCAATTTAGTCCCTAGACTGTATGGAAATCTTCAATGTCGTCCTTCCATTAATTTAAGTTCATGAATAATATTAAACATTTTCACGCAGTGCATAAACTAAATTAAATATATACCAAAAGTCCAGGAACTATATCGAACGAATTTAAAGTTCAGGGATCACATTACATGTTAGACAAAATTTACGAACCATTCATGTCATTTAGCCCGGCGATTTTATGCCTTTCTCGTCGTGCCCCCACAATATTAAAAATTGCATGAAAGTTCCCCAAATCCAGAAAGCTTTTGTTTCGGACTCCGCAAAGGAAGGGACCATCGATGCCCCAAACCGCACAAACCATGATCCGAGGAATACATGTCGCGAGACTGTTCTCCCGAGGGTCCATTCGGGTCAGACCATAATCATCACCAAATCCATAATTATTAAAAAAAAAATTTAAGATTACGATCGCGAGCTTAATTAATTTTTTTATGGGTGCGCAACATGGAATGTTCCACCACGTAGTCGCTTATAAAAATCGGACGCGATCGAGTATTATAAGTACATCAAATCCGTAGCGCAATTATGCAGTGCCGTTTGCTGAATAATAGCTATTATTATATAATCCTGCGGTAGTGGTTAGGGCAAGGACACAACACACATATAACTATTCGATTTAATTGAAATTTGGCGATTTAACAAATCCCCGGCAGCGTAATTGACGCACCATCGGCATAGCGGAATATGTGCCCCCCGTGTGCTTATAATATCTTTCTCTATTTTCGCGCCTTGCTGATTCGTCCTTACATCGCGAAGACCGCGTTACTCGGACCGCCAGATTAAGAAGATAATCCGTATGGGTCAAGAAATAATCGATATTTTAAGAGATAAGTGCACTAGAAGTCCTAAAACTTATCGCAAAAGTATAATTGAGTCCTAAAACCTTGAAAAAGTGCAAACAAGTCCTAAAACTTGTCATGAAAGTGCACTTGAGTCCTAAAACTTTCAAAAAGTGCAAATAAGTCCTAAAACTTGTTACGAAAGTGCAAACAAGTCCTAAAACTTTCAAAAAGTACAATCAATGGAAGGACTTGATTGAATCAATTTGACAAGTTTTAGGACTTGTTTGTACTTTTGTGACAAGTTTTAGGACTTGTTTGCACTTTTTGAAAGTTTTAGGACTCAAGTGTACTTTCGTGACAAGTTTTATGACTTGTTTGCACTTTTTGAAAGTTTTAGGACTCAATTGCACTTTCGTGATAAGTTTTAGGACTTTGAATGCACTTATCCCATATTTTAATAAAAGCGTGGTGGGATTGGCTAGCACCTCTTTGGTCCCGATTTGTTTTATTTAGGGCAAGTGCGTGAAATCAATCGACGAAATTAGGAAAGCGGACATGATTTTCGCGCCGTTCATGACCTCGGTGCGGTGCGTCACGGTGGACGGAGGTACCCCATTTTTTTTCCCCGAATAATTTAATTAGTGATTTTTGCAGGGACCCCACTCGAAGCAACTTTAAGATTTTGGAGGCCCCACGTTGCAAAAAGTATTCGCAACGAGGACTTTTATGCAATTTCTTTTTCCTTTTGGGTGTGGGAAATGTCTGCTGGTAAAATCCGGATTTGGGCCCCGAAAATTGACTCCCCAGAAAATAATCTTCATGTGTTGACCGTTGCCCGATAAAGTTTAGAGCTTTAAAATAATTAAAAAAACGGATAATCAGCGGAAATTCTAGTAGCTGGTTTGATTAGTATAGTGGGGCGAGGTTGGCTACGTGGCAAATTTTAAACGATGTGACTGGATAAGGTAGTAAACAATAATGCAAACCCCCTAGTTACCTTATAAAAATAAATTTAATTGTGCCCGTTATTATGTTTAGTACTTATTAATTTTAGGGTTAATACTGCGAAAAATCCCAAATCGGTGCATTCGTGACAAATTTACCCCGAACTGATTTTTTGACCACCGAAAATCTCAAATTGGCACACATGTGACGATTTTTATCCCAAACTGATTTTTTTACCACAGAAAACCTCCAAACCAGTATACTTGTAACAAATTTACCCTATGTTAGTTTCTTTTAAATTGGATTGATACTACGGAAAACCACAAACTGGAACGGAGGGCAAAACCTCAAACCGGTACACCCGTCGACTGCCACGTGTCATCCAATTCAGCAATTTGACAGTAAAATTTAACGGAAACTGATAGAGAGTAAATTTATCACGGGTGTACCAGTATAGAGTTTTTCGTGGTCGACTAATTAGTTTTGGCTAAATTTGTCACAGATTTACTAATTTGGGGTTTTTTTTTATGATATTAACCCTTAATTTAATTACAATTTGTAGGGCATTGGCGAATTATGTATGATAAATTTCTACCTTATACCTTGATATCGAAGTTCCCGATTGCAATGTGGCCATAACATGTGCCAATTATCAAACAACTAATTGAGATGCACTCGAGTTTATTAAATTAGCTCGAAGAGCTGGATTAGTTTTGTCCGCATTTGATACAACGACACTTTCTCAAGTGGAAATGTCTCGTTTCGAATTACGATGACCGTTGGGCTTTTCGAATTACATTTCGACTAATTATCTTTCGATGAGCAATCGGTGCATTTTAGCGACGTAGCTAATTTTTATGTTCACTTGTCATCCATTTTATGGTGGCGGTATAATCTTCATTTCTGTTTTTGGTAACGAAATTCAAACACAATTCCGTTTATTTCGCAGAAAATAAATAATTCGAAATTTTTTTTCCTAAAAATAACTGCTTTTATCGCTCACGAAAATAAATTAACGAAAAGTAATTTCATCGTCCACGAAACTGTTGTCAATAGTGATAACATTTTTCATTAACTAATTATTTTAGCGATATAAGCGATTACTTTAAAAAATATATATATTATTTTTTAAATTATTCATTTTTTTTGTGAAACATACAGAGCCCATAAGTAAATTTGTCAAAATGAGTCATGAGTGATGGGCTGACTTGTTATATGAGTTGGTTACATTCAGTAAATGAGTCATAACTCATAAATGAGTTTATGATGGTAAAATCCGAAATAATACGAGTGTAAAATGGGTTCATGGCTTACTTAGGTCCAACCTACCTTTATAATCCTTTTTCACTTTTACTCGATCTTGCGCTCCTTCCTTCACTTGCACTCTCATTTCAACTTGAGTATGAGTTTTCCTATATTGTGTTAAATATTAAAATATTTTAGCAATACGAGTCAAGTCGGGCGTGAGTCATTAAATTTGTACCACATGAAAATAGGTCAAATTGAATCAGGTCATTTTCGATCCCGACCACTCCATTAAACAGGTCTACCCATAAGTGACAAACCGAAGACTATGATATGCACTTCTAAGCCACGGTATATGCGCTCGTGATGGGAACTGTGCTGTAGAGGCCCGATCAGTTCAATCGCCCCGGGCACCGGCGACGTCGAGACGGGATCGTCTCGACGTCGCCGGTGGACGGGTTGCCCGAGTTCCGGAAACAACGGCCCGGCTGTTGCTAAAATGGATGTCCAGCTGGGACAAAAGGAGCAAAACCGAGCGCCCGACTGGAAGTGGCAGTTTCGTAAATAACAGCTGGACGGACGTCGATTTGGGCTCACTGACAAAAAAAATCACTGACTTGACTTCTTTAATGCCGAGACCCGGTCGCCCCACGCGATGCACGAGCGCGTGCACGTGACATTCCGTTTTTGTGCTCCGACCGGGAGCTCTTGCTCCTTTTTTATTTTCCTTTTTCTGGTAACATTGGTCGGGAGATCAAACCGGTATCTTTGTTTATGCTGCTTTTTATTTATTTATTTTGGTTTTCCTCATTTATGTTAAATTGATAAATAAATTGCTAAGCAATACGTAGAATTTCGGATGTACACCGAGGCAACAAATTAAGCAAAAAAATGTTTGGTGGAACTGCCGGTCCTCTCTCACTTTAATGGAGCAAAAGATAAATTACCAATATCCGTATTATACAAACATGTGGACTATTATTTCCAGCTTAATCTTCGTACTCGGGTTCCGTCCGTTTCGTAGAAAACAAATATTTTTGAAAATGTTTTTGTATAATTGATCACTTGTTTATCGCATGAAATAATTAGTCGATGAAAGATATTTTCATTATCGACGATGATTTATGTCTGAATACTTTTCGTGGACGACAAAAGCATTTTTTGTTCGTTTTTTTAATTATATATGATTTAAGCAATCGTGTGTTTGGAAAAATATTTTTCGAATTATTCATTTTCGCTGCGAAACAAATATAATCTTAGTTACTTTCGTGCTTATGGAAGCATGCAACCATCGGAGCGTTGCAAAACGGGGCACATGTATTTGGGCGTGAGCCGGGACGATCCCTAATAACACGTGGCGAGTTTTGGTGCTCAGGTCGTGCAATTTCCAGTTACAGCGCCTGAGCACCTTATAAAAATCTATGAAATGAAAGAAAAATGGACGAGTGCGGCCGCGGGTTAGTTGCAAAGGAAATCTTCCGTCCGTATGACCTGAATCGACGTTGTTTCAGCGATTCCCACGACTAAAAACGGTACAAAATGAGATGACCTTTCGACTTCGCCACGACTCTCTTCTTCCTCGGGGTAGAACGGCAATAATGCTGTGTACTATGCATGGGATAGCGATCTGCGAGCGTTAGCCATTTATTACTTTTCGAGTATGTCATGATGGACGACGTGGCTCGGAAAGACCCTTGGTCTCGTGGGTCAATCCTAATCTTTACCGGCCTTTGTTGAACTCTTTAGTAGCTTCTTGATCTCTCTTTACCTCTTGTATCTGTCATCTTTTACAAATCTTTGGAATTGGAGGGTATCTTTTTGATAAACTAAAAAACGCCGACATAGATGGCCGGCGTGAGTGGCCGAACTTGGGTGTCATTATTGGGATTTCACGCGTACGACGGAATATTCTTTTTGAATCATAACTGCTGCTCATTTAAGTAAGCCCGTAATCGTCGCTACAACGTGATATTCGTGGGATTAGAGTTGAGATAATCCTATGCCACGGCGCATGAAATTACTATGCAAGGTGAATTTTGCGATCGGCCCAACTGGGTCACCTGATCAATTCCAGACAAGTAGACTGGACATGTAGAAATTTAGAAGGTGAAAGATGCATGCAATCAATTGATCAAAAGTCTTCTTCTCTTTAATTGGAGTTGTGCATCAAGATGTTGAATTGCATAAGACCAAAAAAAAACTTATTTAAGTTGACAATGTTGAATCGACACATTTTTTTGGATTCAAACTTGAACTGATTAGAAAGTTGCATTACATAGAAAAAATCGCGAGAAATAATAGGTCGATGCATTATATAACCGAGTAACTCATGACTATGAGTTGGACACTCTATCAATCTATTTTTGTCCTCGTTTATTGTCGGGTTTCAATCCGTCCTTTCGAGAGCAATCACTCGGAGAGCATCGGTTAAAAAAAGGGGGCGAGTCGCCCTACTGAGCACGCCTCGAACACAGATCTCGTGCAGAAGAAGGGCGTCGTCACAATGCTGCCGGCGCGATTGGCCTAGTAATTGCTTCATATTCCATTCGGGTTCCTTGCGTAGTTTATTTGTCAGATGCGTGCACACTCTCGCCACATGTTTATGCTACGTCAACAGGGGAAGGGGGGGGGAGAAAACCGAAGCGAGAGCGTGTCCTGAAATTTTGAAATTTCCCTCTCCTCCCTCCCACCTTCCATAAAAATTTTAAAATTCCATGTAGACCTTGCTATCTAAATGTTTTTTTTTCCCAACGCGACATCGAAGTGCGGCGTTGCGCTGTGAGGTGGAGTACGGCGGCGGCGGGACGATCTCGCATCAACGAATGATCCAATCGGGAGCTCACGGGGGGCGGCGAACGCGAATCTGCGGCGAGGTTTCGCTCGAGCCGGAGTTGGGATTCACCCGAACCTTCCGGTCGGGTTTCGTTTTCATTTCATTAACCAGAGAAGAGAAGAGAAGAGAAGAGAGAGAGAGTGGGGCCCATGCTCTGACAACTCATCCAGACTCTTATTAAATTCCTCTCGCTCTCGCTCTCGCTCTCGCTCTCGCTCGCTCTCTATCCCTGCGATTGGCTCGCGGCACGTGCGAGGCGCGTGGGGGGGCGCGTGTGGAGGGAGGGGGAGGGGGAGATTTTTACCCGCCCAAGGGGCGTGAGCTGTGGGGGATGTTCCCGGTGGGCCCCGCTCCCCATGTGCCCTCCTTCCTGTCTCCACCAGCTCCTGCCTCTCAATCATTAGCTTCTTCTCCCTCGCCCTCTCCCTCCTTCCTTCCCTCCAAACCCTAAAGAAAAACCTCCTCACTCTCTCTCTCTCTCTCTAAAGCTCGCGGACGACGACGAGCCACGCCCACCCGCGGAGACCGCTCGACCACCTTCCTCACCTCAAGCTCAAGCTCAAGCTCAAGGAGCTCGGAGCTCGGCAATAGCGAAGTGCCCACCTGCTCCTCAACCTGCGGGGCGTCGCTGTTGAGGAGAGAGAGAGAGAGAGAGAGAGAGAGAGAGAGAGAGAGAGAGAACGAACCTTACGACGGAGGCGGAGTTTGGAGGGGAGAGGGGCCGAGGGTTTGATTTCGAGAGCGCCATGTCGAATACCGACGGAGGAGGAGGGGGCAACGCCGTCGCCAACGGGGCGATCATCGATCCGCAGAGGCAGGCGCACCAGCAGGGGGGTGCCAACGGCGCCCTCGCCGTCAAGAAGCCCCCCTCCAAGGACCGGCACAGCAAGGTGGACGGCCGCGGCCGCCGGATACGGATGCCGATCATATGCGCCGCCCGCGTCTTCCAGCTCACCCGGGAGCTCGGCCACAAGTCCGACGGCCAGACCATCGAGTGGCTCCTCCGCCAGGCCGAGCCCTCCATCATCGCCGCCACCGGGACCGGGACCACCCCCGCCAGCTTCTCCACCGTCTCCGCCTCCGCCCGCGGCGGCGGCGGGGGGTCCGGCTCCGGCGGCCTCTCCTGCTCGATTTCTATGTCCCCCAACGCCTCGTCCTTGGAGCACAAGCCCCTGCTCGGGCCCACGCAGTTCATCCTCGGGAAGCGCGTGCGGGCGGACGACGACGGCGGGAACGGCAAGGACGAGGTCTCCGTCGTGGGCCCCACCGTGGAGGCGATGGTCGGTGCCGGCGGGGCCCCGGGCGGCTTCTGGGCGCTGCCGGCGCGGCCCGACTTCTGGAGCTTCGCGGCCGCGGCGGCGGCCGCAGCGGCGCCGCCGGAGATGGTGGTGCAGCAGGGCGGGGCGGTGTCGCAGCAGGGGCCGTCGTTCTTCTTGCATCAGCAGCAGCAGGGGATCGGGGAGGCGTCGGCAGCTCGAGTCGGGAATTACATCCCGGGCCACCTGAATTTGCTCGCGTCCTTGTCGGGCGGGTCCGGAAATTCGGGGCGGAGGGACGATGACCATCGCTGATTCAGCGAAGGCACCACCCAGCGGTTGCTGCGTTGGTATATATATAAATATGTGCAAGTCCTGTTGTTTCTCAGTCAGTCAGTGTGTGTGCGCGTGTCGTGTGAAGATGGACAAGAAGGAATTTAGGTGAAGTTTTAGGGGGCTTAGGCTATTAGTTCTTTGGGTGGAGGAAGAAGTAGGAGTCCGCTCAATGCATGATTCAATTTTAGGGGTTTCTTTTAACTCTTTCTGGTGTAGCGTTTTTAGGGTCATTCTTAGGTTCTTCCTGGTGGGAAGTTTTCGTTGACAGGACACAGGACTTCACGGAAATCCGGGCTCTTGTTTGGAATTTCAAGGGTCTGTTGTTCGAGGGAAAATGGGGTTTTTGTGCAAAATCCTAGGTGTGTCTTGTGATGATGTGCCCATATAAAGGACATCGAGTTGGTTAATTCAACGTACTTTGCGCAAGGGTTAAGGCGGATTCTTGCGCAAGTTGACACTGTTTTGTCACATGTCTTGAAGACTTATGGCATTGCATGCCCATGGGGGGGGTATGTTCACCTTTTTCTAGTCTGTAACTCCTCGATTTGCTGCTCGTGTGGTGGCCCCATTGCTTCATAATTCAGTGAGAAAGCTTCAATTGTTGCATCTTCGTCCAAATTTCCGTCCTGAGTGAGCTGAGTTCTTGAAGTTCGGCGCAACATTGTCCGGGCCTCCTCGAATATGTTATAAGCTCTGTCTCTTTGAAATCGGGATAATAAAATGTGGGTGCTTTGCCTTCAATTGAGGTGCCTTCAGTCTTCGAGGAGAATTCAGGAGGTTTCTGCCAGTTCAGCTTTGTGGTTGGTCTCTCATCCCATGCCCCCTTGGAGGCGATGGTTCGAAACGAAGATGTGAAGGAGGAGACTATTGTTATCTCTCTGTAAGGCCTCTGCTTTTTCGCTTTTGATAATTTTGTCTGTAATTCTTATGCCTTTCCGTATTAGATTCATCAGCGTGGAAAATAATGTGCTTTTCATGTATGTAACTGGATTGTTTCTTCTGGGTGCTGCTTGTGTGAATAAAAAGAAAAATGAAAAAGACCCAATAATCTTTCTCAGTTCATCATCTGCTCTATTGCTCTCTGGCTCAACTTTGCTTCACTGCTCTCTATGCGCACGAATCGTGCTCGTCCGAGCATCAAATCTTTCTTCGCCCCCCCATCCCGGTTCTCGTGCTTATTTCAAGCGCCCTTCACAGAGCGAGCCGCGAGTCTTATCTGAATTTCGTATCGTGGTCTACTTCATTCTAGCCACTCAACGACCCAATGGGTGCTTTTGGCTTTACAAATTCCCGTGTCTGCAACGTGTGATTTTGTCATTCGATTGTCAAAATGAAAAAGCAGGAGAACAACAAACTAGAGTAGCTAATAGGCACACTGTAAATCCCCATTGGAGAAGAGAATCGAAGGAGGGCCTCACTCTCAATTCAAACGACTAATCTTGATATACACATTGAAAGATCCAACTGTACTGTGTACCATGTGCAGTCTGTTATCAACCCTAGTTAATGGACCCCTGCATACTGTCTTTCTCTCCTCTCTCTCTCCTCTCTCTCTCTCTCTCTCTGGGTGTTGCTGAGACTTTCCAGATTGCAGAAAGAAACGGTACGACCAGTCGAGATGGCAGGAGACCTCTCGCTTTCCACATCGGGCAAGCTGCAGATGAAGGTGGTGGTGGTGGTGATCTGATGGGGAGCCAGAGTCTACCCCTCCCCAATCACCCAATCATTTTGCCCACAATTATCACTTTCCTCAGATTCAGCAGGAATAATTGTGTTGTTAAGTGGGGTCCTTTCTTATCGGGATTTTAATCAAGCTCCTGTTAAGGGGTTGTTCTTTTAACCGTTGGAGGAACCGTTTCTTCGATATTTGGATCGCGGAAATTACCATTGCCCTCTACTTAATCCCACTTGCACTTTTTATAAAGTTACTGACACGTATGCCAGATTACCATGGCCTCTCAGAATGGCTCACATTATTTCCACTGTTTAATGCTGCGTTTGTTCGTCCCAATAAAAGTCAAAATAAGATAGGCTGCGACGAAGTCGGATATATAGAGGGAGCAAGTCGGATATGATATCCCTTATCCATAAGAGCAAAAATTGCACGCTCGAAAGAGCAAACACATGAGAAGAACCGGCTTTTTCCCACAGCCTTCGCCTCTCCTCAGCGCCTAGCCAACTCTCTTCCATGCCCAGCCGTGCCTGGCCTCTGCTTGTCTAGCATTGGTGACATCCCGTCCTTTGTCCCACCTCGCCTGTTCCAGACTAGCTTCCAGTGTCGTCCCTGCTCCCGTGACAACTTGCACCAGAGCGCCCGAAGCCCAGATGCCGCTCCTGCATTACTTCATCGACTTTTGTTGGTTTTGTCCTTGCCATGTCCAACGAATTCCGGTCACTAAAACAGCAATCGTACTGTGGAATTCAGCTCGCTGCTCCCCTTGGTGTCATGTCCGGCAAAGTTATCACCGTTGTTGTGTTCGACCATCACCATAACAGCAGCCCCAATCGACTCTCAAGCCCATAACTTTTCTCTCGGTGATCTCCGGCCCTTCACTATTACCGGCGGTCCTTCGCGTTTGCCGACTCTCTCTGCGCGGTGTCCTCGATCACGGCTCACATCCAGCAACCCTCGGCGTCCCATAAGCACCTTAGTCACTAAAGACCACATGGATGTTTTTGGAGCTAAAACTTTATGGCCAAATTTTTATGTTCTTTATATTGATATCCAGTTTCTATCAAACAATGGATAATAGGATATAAAATTATTCGACTTTAAACCCGCAGTTTATCAAATAATAGATGGGATATGACATAATGCCTAGATTTTTATTCTATCTTATCTAGTTCTATCCTGACTAGAAAATTCGGACGACCAAACGCAACCTAAATGATTATTACACTTCTTAACTTGTTGAGTTGACAAAAATAATCTCAAGAGAACTAATTAATTAAAAGCGCAAATGAAAAGGGTGAAAGTCGCTGTTTATTGAAAATGCAAAAGCCATGCATCGTTGTGAAAATACATGACTGTTTGTGTTATTAGAAATAATGATATTTTAATCACCACCTTATGCTATTTTCCATTCGCTTTTATACATACTTCATTTCCTCTCTTCAACCTATTAATATGCCCAAGCCGATTTCTAAAAAGGATTATTTGTAATTAGTTTGAACTTTGTTGGTAATCTTTGTTAATTAACATATTCTAAATACAAATTATGTTCATAAAGAGTTCATAACTTTAACCACGGAATTCTTTTAAGAAGAACAAAATAATTATATGCCACAAGATTTATGCCGGATTGAACTTTGAGAGACATTGTAAATAAATGTACTTTATTAGTATTTTTTAAATCATAATCTCGATCATTAAGTCTATTAAAATACTCCAACTTTAGACGATTCCCATAAAAAAGCAAAGAGCAGGTAAACTCTGCCCATTTGAACGCGAAAGAAAATGAAACAATTTAGAAAAGATTGATATAAATCATTAGATTGATTGATCTATAGTAAAGTATATATTTGTTTCTTTTTCATCAATCTTACCATTAATGAGGTCTCTATTAGTGTTATTTGGAACTATTTAAATTTTTGGATGTGCCTGCTGAAGCTAGTTGAGGGGTGGAAGTAACGTGAGCTCTTTAAATTAAACCTATTGAATTCGAAAGTTTGCAACTTCTTCAAGAGAAATGCATCAAAAACATCATTAGGGAGATGAAAATCGAAGTTTTAAGGCTTCGTTTGTTTCGCCGAAAATGAATAATTTAGAACAATTTGTGTCTAAACAATTTCATGGGCAACGAAACTATTTTTCGTTCATTCATTTTTGTAAGCAATACGAGCGATCATTTTTAGGAAAATTTTTCTCAAATCATTTATTTTGTGCGAGACAAACGCACCCTAAATATGCTTTGGACCTTTTCAAATGAAACGCGAAGGAGAAGGAAAATTAGCAATATATTCATTACATTGAAAAGAAAAAAGTTCGTGACCGTTCTCCATCTCCGGACGTCGATGCCCACGTATATGCCACGCGTACGGTGGTCAATCAACCACGGCATTCGTCTATGAATCTTCACGAGCAATTCTTCCGATTTTCAGTAATTTGTACGTAAGGGTGAAAATTTATAGAAATTTAACTTTATACCACCCAGTAAAGAGAAATCGAGGCTTTGTTATTGGAAAATTCCCTCCAACATAGTTTGAATCGAACTCGTGATCTTTATGCTATGTTTGGGAGAGTAGGAGGTGAATAACGAGAGAGAGAGAGAGAGAGGAAGGGGCACCCAATTTTGCATTTTTGTTTTTCTTCGTACTTTTAGAAAAAATTTCGACATCGGAATTTTCGATCCTCCCATTTTCCCTAGTTTCCTGGCCTTAGTGCGAGTCGGAAATGCGCCTCCTGCGAGTACAAGGAGACTTCGCGGGCAAGATCGTGCATTGAAAATACATTAATTCTCTTCCAGGAACGCATCGATCGATGTCATGCGATGTCGAGGGGATTGGATACATCCGAGATACATCTGGCCACCGAATGTCGGGATATGCGGTTCGGCACAATGATGGTCACTGGCAGGAAGAAATAGAAGCGATACAGGACCGGTCGACTCGATCCAAATCCGGTTACGGTGCTGCTTACAACGTCGAAAATCAAAGATTGTGTATGTCAAGAAACCTGTTACATACGTATCGCTACATAAGCAAGACTACTTCCCGATAAGGCACGATTGATTCTTTCTCAGCAGAACAAAGATTCATCCCATGAAGAACAATGACAAAACGAAGTCGGGACTCCGCGGGAGTCGGGACGAGAACAATGACAAAACGAAGCAGAAGATATCATGAGCAGTTGGAACAAAGAATCTTGTGACCCAGGCTCGGTCGAATTCGATATAAGCACTTGTGCGTCGCTACAAGCTACGAAATGGCCTTCCTAATCAGTGTGAAGAATCACTTCGCCCACGTCTCGTGAGCGCGAGCGATGGCCCGTGTAATCTTCGTTACTAGGCGAACTCGTCGCCATCTCATCTTCCCTCTGTAGCCGGGAGCAAATCGTTCGGGGCAACTTGTACACTGGCTGAAGCATTCAACAGAAAAGAAAACAACGAAAAGCACAGGTCGTGCTCATTTCCGGTGTCTGTTCATTCATCCTGAAGACTGCTCATCGATAACGCGGCAGACAAAAGTTTAATGTCACGAGCAGTCTGGGTAAACTGCATCTCACAATGCTCACAGAGCTCGAAGACCTGCCATATGCAACTCCAAAAAGGACCAAGAATGACTAGGAGAAAGTAAGGGCGCCTCCTTTTCTTTGTTTCCAAAGCATTAGCCACCGGTGACTTCCGATACAGCGAGCCAAGCGCTCGATGGGAAAATTGTCAAATCAGTCCTAAACCTATTGTACGGCGGCCAATTCAGTCCTAAACCTTTTAATTTTACCAATTCAGTCCTAAAAATTTTAAATTCTTGCCAATTGAGTCCTTCCGGTCAATTTTGGCCGGCCGTCTGGTCAACGCTGACGTGGCAATTTTTAATTATTTTTTTTTAATTTTTTAATCTTTTTTTTTCTTTTTCTTCTTCTTTTTTTTTTCTGCTGTCTCCCCTCTGGCCGGTCCGGCGACCGGCGGCCAGCCAGAGGGGAGGCCCGGCGAGGCCTCTGGCGAAGCTCGCCCCGCCGGCCACTGGCTGGGCGAGGCGAGGTCGGCCTCGCCGTCGCTTGGGTCGCGACGGCGAGGCTCGACCTCGCCTTGCCTTGCCCAGCCAAGGGCCGGCGAGGCTCGCCCTCGCCGGTGGCCGGCGGGGTGAGCTTCGCCAGAGGGGAGAAAGCAGAAAAAAAAAAGAAGAAAAAGAAAAAAAAAGATTAAAAAATTGAAAAAAAAATAATTAAAAATTGCCACGTCAGCGTTGACCGGACGGCCGGCTTCGGCGCCGGCGGCCACGTCAGCGCCAGCCGGCCAAAATTGGCCGGAAGAACTCAATTGGCAAGAATTTAAAAGGTTTAGGACTGAATTGGCAAACTTAAAAGGTTTAGGACTGAATTGGCCGTCGTACAATAGGTTTAGGACTGATTTGACAATTTTCCCAGCGCTCGACCTAGATTCCATCGAGGCTTGGGCAGCATAGGGGTGAGCGGTTCCCGGTCCGGTCCGGTTCCATGGTGGAACCGGGAACCGGACCGAGAAAACCGGTTCCCAATTTTGGGAACCATGGACCGAACCGGTTGGTTCTAGGACCGGGAACCGGACCGGACCGTCGGTCCGGTCCGGTTCCGGTCCGGTCCAATGGAACCGGTTACTTAGAGTTTAGGATTTTTTTTTGTCAAACACTTAAGGTTTGGTTCACATTTTACTAATTTTTATTTTATGTCAATGAAGTTCACTTAGGGTTTAATTCACATTTTACTATTTTTTATCAATGAATTTATGATAATGAAGTTCACCTAGAGTTTAGTTCACATTTTATTAATTTTTTTAAAGAAAAAAATTATAAAAATATATATTAAATAGTCGGTCCGGTCCAGTCGGTCCGGTCCGGTCCGGTTCCCCCTTGGAACCGGGAACCGGACCGCCCGGAAACCGGTTCCGCTTTTAGGAACCGGGAACCGGACCGATAGTCCCGAGAACCGAACCAAACTCGTCAGTCCGGTCCGGTCCCGGTTTGGGCGGTCCAAGTTGCTCACCCCTAGGGCAGCATTAGCTTGCAAAAAGCTCAGCTACTTATGGCTCACCAGTGTGGCTGCAACTCCTGTGAGAGACAGATGATTGCCTAAACCACAACTTTGTAAGCAAAATTCAAGTTACTCCAGACTCTCTACATTGTGATACAGCACTGAAGTACTCTTTACCAAACAGAGCAGCTCAAATAATTAGCTGCAGCGGTTCTCCTGACCAACTCGTCAATTTGTCCAAAGCGACACGTAAACGGCGCCGGGAGGGGCAAAAAACCCAAGAGGAGTCACAGTCAGGGCCTGTTTAGTTCGACTTTGGGGGAATGTCTTTGGTAAAATGCAAAAGTCTTTGGGCTAAAAGGGTTTTTCAAAATGCAAGTAGTGTTTGGTAATGTGTATTTTAAAATCACGCTTGAAAACAACTTTGGTCTAAATACCGTTTGGTAAAAACTAATTTTGTAAAGGACTTTTGCTAATATTTAAAAAAAAAATTGAGGTGGAGCTCAGCCACTGGTAGGCCAAAATGGCCGCTGACTAGCCTTGCCTGAGGTCGTGTGACCTCAGGTGTCGCCTGGGTCATGCGACCCCAACGACCGCCGCCTGAGGGTCGCACGCCCTCAGGTAGCATTGCTTGGGTCGTGCGACCCCAACAACCATCGCCTGGGGTCGCGCGACCTCAAGCAAGGCGCCTTGAGGTTGCGTGACCTAGGTATCGCCTGGTTGCCTAGATCGCAACCTAGGCATCGCCTGAGGTCAGGCGACCCCCAGGCGGTGGTGGCCGAGGTCGCGTGACCCCTCAGGCGGCAGTCGCCGGCCTCCGGACCAAATCCTCGGGGAAGATGAACAGTTCATGAACAGTGCTATCCAAAAATGCAACTTGCCAAAGCGTCTCCATATCTGCCTTGGGCTAAGGGACTCTAGAGGCCTTTGGAAATGCAATTGCATTTCCCCAAAGTGCTCCAAAAAAATTGCCAAACGCCATTTGCATTTTGCCAAGAGACTTTAGAACCCCAATACTCATTTTAAATGCTGAACCAAAGGGGGCCTCAATGACTTATCTCTTGCTTGAGCCGTGCAGCCCTCACATTCCCCACAAAAATACCGCATAAACAGGAATGTTGCTATAGATAGAGACTATACTATCAAACATGCTAGCTAGTTCGGCAAGAATTCCGCCAACCAGTAAGTCGGCAAAAGAGGTTTTCATTCTTTTATCCCCCTGAAATGAGCAATCATCGATGGTCAATTACAAGATAACGGCATTTTATCTTCGGACTTTTCGAGCAAAAAAATTTACAAGAATTCCACCATTGGCCACCGTATAAATGCGCGCGACTCAGAGCAAGGGCGGCACGGTTCAGGGAAATGCTGGATCGCGGTGCCACGGGCGGCGAATTGAGTGCCTCGATTGGTGCAAGCTACTAACATGAGCCACCAGGAAAAAGAGGCATCATTATTCATGATATGAATTGTACTTACAGTTGCAGCAAGAAGTAGCTTGAGGCAACAAGACACCAGTTCTCCATTCGATTTGAAATCGACAGAATTTCCACAAACAGGAGGACACCTTCTGTAAGTAAAAAAAAAACTCACTCTAATCAGCAAATGACGATCTCCCATCTCCTGAATCCGCGGCATCCTCAGGAACAAATCGATCATGGAGCAGCAGAGAAACAGTCGATAGATTCAACCGGCAACTTCAAGGATTTTGGAGCCACGCCGAGGAATTGTCACCACGCCGTCTCGTGGGCTCCGTAACATATTCACGCCACCCGATCGAGCTGCGGACCTCGCTGCGGCCGGCTCGGACTAACCCATCACAAATCGGCGGGCGAGAGAGACTACCGAAGAGGGTCCCTGTAGGAAGTATCATCGTCCTCTTCGCGCCTCTCTTCGCAGCAAAGAAGGCACCGCAAGATTTCAAGAAGCACGGATATCATCTCCCGCGTGATTTCCTTCCTTCCGCGCCAGGCAACAAATCAAACACTTGCAAGCCCAGACCAATCGAGCCCAAAAACATCCAAAAGAATTCCGGAATCGGGTTCCGCGAACCGGGGTCGGCGGCGTCGGGGATCGAGCCCTCTCTGCCCCTCCTCGAGGACTCAGAAACTGAAGAACAAAGAGCGCGAATTTCGGCACATGGTCGGAACGCCTTGGTGTCGCCGATCGGACAGGACGAGCGAAGTTGGAGGTGAGAAATGGGGGACTTACTCGGATGTTCCTGAGCAAAGGACTGAGACAATGTTCGTGAAGAAGAAGAAGACGAAGAAGGAGAAGAAGGAGAAGAAGTTACGAAGAGCTACGGATGCGCCGAATTCTTGCCGCTAAAGTCCAACAGGGGGCGAAACGAAACGGCGTTTCGAAGCAAAATATGTGCTCGGAGCATATGCTTCAGCGACGTGTCCGGGACGGGACGTGGCTGTTCTGTTGGAGTTCGTTGGCCACGTCTCCCAGCCTTTTTCTTTTCTTTTTCTTTTTCTGCCATATATATATTCCTTTTTTTTTTTTTAAACATTTGGATGCCTGAGAAAAATGATGCAGGATTACTGTAAAATGAGACATTTTCTCCATGAATGTTTTAAATTTCACGGACAATTTTGACGGGCACAAACCTGTTTTGAATATTTTAAATTAACAGGGAGAATTTATAAACAGATTAATTTTGAGCGGTACCATTAAATCTCATAATAACGATTTTTCTCCGGATAAAAAAATAATCTTTACATGATTTACAAAAACATACTTATAAATTGTTCAAACTCGCGATGAATTCATTCCTTTGGTATTCATCCTAAATTAATTGTACGTGGTAATTACACGCCCCATTCGATGATTTGATGGTCACAAATTCGTTTACCGAAAAAGAGAGAGATATATATATAATCCCTTGAATTCTCTAGCCAAGCATAAGAGTCTTTTGCCTCATCTTGAAGCCAACGAGTCCCACTGCCCCCTCTTATCCACTGCACTGGAATAACTCTGCCTCGGTCGCTTTCTTCATACCCAGCTTCGAACATCTTCAAGGTGAAATTTGCTTTTTTCCCCTTTTCACTTTCTGCCCGTTTGAGCCTTCCCCTGTTCTCCGCACCTCAGTTTTCGCGTGTTTTAGCTGCAGAAGCAGAAACATTTGCGCTCATTTGTGTAGAAAAGAGCGACCCATTTGTGTTTTTTTTTGCCCCGAAATTTGCTTTGGAACGAGGATTTAATTAGTCGGTCTTGGAAAAGACGTGGTTTTGGGTGTCTTGGTTTTTCATTGCGCTCAGCAAAGTGGGTGGCTTTTCTTGTTGCGGATGGTGGCTGTCTGATGACAAGTTGAGGAAAGTGGCTGGTAAAGATGGGGTCTTTTTCTCTTCACGCGTCTTGCTTGGCACAGCCTAAGCTCCCATGGAGTAATGACTGCTCTCAGAACCTGAACAGCCTCAAGCTTCCTGCTCTGGTACAGTTTTGAGCTCTTACTGTGTTTTTTTTTTTTTTTGGGGCTCTTTGGTGTTGATCGTATGACTGTTTGCCGTCTTCTTTTCTTCCTGTTGTCTATCATAGTGGAATAGCAATATAATGTTGCAATTGTTGGAGGAATATGAAAATAGTGATGGTGTTTGTGAATTGCGGAATCTGAAAATAGTGATGGTGTTTGTGAATTGATGAGGATATAGAATAGGGTCACGGCTGGTTGATCTAGCGTTGCCTATACCCGTGCGGCCTGGATTCTAGAGAGAAATTAGAGAGAAACTCGTAAAGAGAAGTTCTGGATTTCTGTTACTCGTGACATGATAGGAGAGGACCCTATTTATACAAGAACCCCTTTGTTTACAACCATACATTGCCTCTTGATCTATGGGTGGAGATTCCATCTTACCATCTACCAAGAACCTATATTGTCCTCAAGAATGTTATAGAGTACTCAAGATTTCCTAAACCCTCAAAAGCTTTAAGGCTCAATCATTTGGGTCACTTCCTCTGGACGGTGACACTAGGCTCAATCTAAATAGAGTGAAGATTTCAGGATTTGGTTTGGGTTTAGGTGCAACTCAAGCGATAACAAGCATATCTCTAGGTGCATCCGCAGTATTTTGAAGAGAGTCTCTGTTAGTTCTAGGTTGCAAAACTGACAATTCTTGTGCTTTTGGAGTTTCTGGATCAAATATTATTTGCTGCGCTTTTCTTGTGAGCTGTGCTTTGAGCATAAATACGAAAAATCTGTTCGAGTTTGATTAAATTTTTGTCATCGATGAGCTTCCTCTGATCACCTGTGACGATACTTTAGAAGCGTGATACATGGGAGAAATGTTATGCCAAAGTGACAGGAACGGTCCATTTACTTCTTGTGATGCAAGAATAGGATAGACATCATCATACAAATGAATCAGTTCAGGAAAAGATGTTTATTTATCCATTTTTCACCAATTCCATCGTCAGAACTGTGTTACCGTTCTACATTGATTTCAACCAGTGTTCTACATATGCTGTTAATCTTACATCTTAGTCCAATTGTTGTTTAAAAGCAGCAGAGAGGACCCAATTTTGGCTCACGCAAAGCTTCAAAAGTTCTTGCTTTCTATGGGTTGAAGAGTCCTCCGTATGAACTTGTAAGTTGTTAGTTGATAGATTTCTGTACAAGTTTTCAATCTGACAGTTTTACCCAAAAGGATTAAGACATACACTGATAATTGTAGTGTAATTATCATTGCCATGGCCAGCATAATTAATTAAGCTAAGCTAGTTTTTTTCAGTTACTGATGCTTATCGCTCGAACTAGAGATAAGCGTAGTGGCATAAAGTTGAGGTTGTGCCAATTGAATTTTGAAGTTACTTCAACTGTACGAAGTTTCCTCCCACGAACATCCATTGCAAATGAAGTTCTAAAGTGGCCCATGCTTTTAATTGAGTGTTTGGCTTAAGCCACGAAGCGGCTTTATGCCATGATCCAAGCTTGTTCGAGACTCTAATATGTAGTTGGCATTCACTCTATTTCGCAAGCATGTGATACAGGTTTTGCGAATGATCATTAGAGGAATTAAGTCTGGTATTTTGCCAGCGAACCTTAAAAAAGTGAAGCTTTCTGATCGATAATGTAAAAATTGGGCTTTCTTACCAATAATGGAAAAGAAGAAACTATCTCGTCATCTATCCATAATTATTAGTTCTTTACTTAATTGTCTGAGGTCTATTGATGGAAAAACCTACTCCAGTAACTTGGAGTTTTCGCCACTCTTGAAATTTTCGATGCCAGTTATTTCAACGTAGAACATTTACACTCTGACATTTGAAGTTTTACTATTCTTGCTAGTAACTGTGTCCGAATACGTAGGATGCTCTTGAACCATACATGAGCAAGAGGCTTATGGAAACACACTGGGGAGAACATCATCATGGTTATGTGGAAGGCTTGAACAAACAACTTGAGAAGAATGATATATTATATGGCTACACTCTTGACGAACTTGTCAAAGTAACTTACAACAATGGGAACCCACTACCGGAGTTCAATAATGCTGCACAGGTATGTCCTCTTTTCTTCAGCAAGTTCACTTACTGGTTGTGCTGTATCCTCTTAGGGAACTTGCCTTTTCGTTCTCCACTGGGACTATGCAGCTGATGGAAGCTGTTTTCTGAGGAAATCTGTACATAAACCTTTCTTTCAGAGCAGCCACGAGCACATTCAGTTCATGATACTTCATCGATTGGGCCTTTTGCTTTACTTGCAAATCCTTTAGTTCATTTTCCAATTGCTGTTTACAAGGGATCTAACTAAAGGAACCTGGTATACAAAATTATTGTGCTTATCATACAAAAAGAGAGCTGAGTTTCAGTGGACCTTGTTAAAGTACTTGTGGATATTCAGCTGCTTAACAGCACGCATAGTTAGCCTTTTTGGTATGGCGTAGTTTTTGTTCAATAGCATTCCATGGGCCTTTCAGATTTCAAGTAAGGATTTCACCCAAAATGTGAGCAAGTGTGAGGATCTAACGTGTTCTTACGCATAGCTTGTCGTCTGACCCTGAGTAATTGGTTCATGGGCTATGAGATATCATGTGAATGTCTTAGCAGTTCATATGATAAGGGTTTTATGTATTCATCTTATATCTGACATTCAGGTAATGTACATGCATGTGGTTGTGAACTTTCTGGACTATAAAAGAGAACATTTCATTATTCCAATTCATCTTGCTCAGATAAATAAGAATTACATGGTTGGAAAAGATTAAAGTAGTATTTCGACTACTGATTAGCATTTTTAGCGAGTAATTAGTTGCTATAATCATTCGATGGAGAGCCTCTTTTAGGCCATACAATCGCAGCTGGAAGCGCGTCGTGGGTAGTATGTGTGTGCGCAAGAGACCATTTACACGTACTAAAAAAGCTCTTTATAATCTTAGTGAGATTCCTGAATCTTCTGCACTAGTTCCAGATTGTGATGCACCTAGACAGGATTGCAGCTTGGCAAATTTGTAACCGTCATTTGGACAAGCCATTTTGCTTTTAGGGCTAGTCTTTGTACCCAAAAGGGTTCAAACTGCTAGAGCCTTGGGCAGAGTCATGGAAATGTTACTTATGACCGCCTTGCTTGATGCAAGCATTACTTGTATGGATATTGATGTAAATACGGGAAGAAATATCCAAAAGAATTGGAATATCAGGCAGGATTGAGTACGTCTAGCCAGACCTAACCGATTGCTGACCGTCAACATCTAATACTAGCCCAGCACTTTTAGCAAGTAGCTGGATCTGATTCGAGTTATGCTTACACAAAGTTTAGCATGTTACCGTTATAGAGAGAAGAATATCCTGGTTTTGCTCGTCTTGTTGCAGTAGCATTTCACTATATCTTAGGATGTCCTTGTATGCTGATGTACGGTGCATTGAATTGTTTTGTGGACTCCAATTTAAATAAAAATTTTCAGGTTTGGAATCACGACTTCTTTTGGGAATCAATGCAACCTGGAGGTGGAGGCATGCCAGAACTGGGTCTTCTTCAGCAGATTGAAAAGGACTTTGGTTCATTTACCAATTTCAAGGAGAAGTTCATTGAAGCTGCTCTGTCACTGTTTGGATCAGGCTGGGTTTGGCTTGTCTGTAAGTTAATTTCTTAAATTAAGCCTGCATCTTTTCCCATTTGATGCTCGTTTGATTGTTGCTTTGACATCCATCTAGTAATATTCTAACTGCAGCGCCAATAAGAACCAAGAAGTCATCCATTCTCTTACTCCAAAATCCAATTTTGATTACAGAATAGTGACTCCATAATGAATACCAAATGTACCAACATGCATTCTGAAAAGATGATTGTTGATTTGCCTTTTTCGGATGGTTCTCGTCTTAAGAGTTTGAATCTGTCACTGAAGCATAAAAGATGACGGGTTGTAATTTTCTGGTGATATATTTATTCATTTTCTTTTCTGTTTAGTGAAGAGACGAGAAAAGCGACTTGAAGTAGTGAAGACATCAAATGCTGTTAACCCGATTGTGTGGGACGACATTGTAAGTCAGCATTTCCTGTTTGTTTTCTGAGACATTCTTCTTCTTAGATGTTAATCCGCATCCTCCTCCTCCTGCAGCCCTTAATCAGCTTGGATACGTGGGAAGTAAGCACTCTCTCTCTCTCTCTCTCTCTCTCTCTCTCTCTCTCTCTCTCTCTCTCTCTCTCTCTCTCTCTCTCTCTCTCTCTCTCTCTCTCTCTCTCTCTCTCTCTCTCGTGCGTGTGTGTTCTGATTTTGATATTCCTAAATCCTTTATTTTCCTTTGCAGCATGCTTATTACCAAGATTACAAGGTATAAAAACCATTCTCAGTATCTTTTAACATCATTGACATACGTGTGTACTGATCTTGGATTCCTTCCATACAGAATGATCGAGGGAAATATGTTAATGCATTCATGAATCACCTTGTGTCCTGGCATGTCGCGACAGTCCGGATTATCCGTGCAGAGGCCTTTGTTAATTTAGGCGAACCCAAGATCCCCGTTGCATGATATGCTTCAACTTCAAGAAGCCGCTGTTTTTGTAGTCTTGCGGGATGTAGACGTAGATCATGGATGAGTTTTTCTTTTTAATGACATAAAACAGGATTTAGTCAAACTCTTTTCCCCCACATTTTCCTCTCTTTTTTTTTTCAATATAATATGTATATCTGATGAACACGCCAGTGACTGTGCTGTACCAATTTGTGATCATAGCTGAGGCAGAGATTAGAAATCAGAAACTTGCCGCCCCATTTTTCGTTGTCTTGCATTTATATGTGCTTGTTTTTGGTTAATGCTTATAGCCAGACCTGATTGATGTGTTTTCTAATATATGGCTTGTGCTAGTGGGCTTGAAACTTCTTCTACTGAGTCACTCGAATATGATCTAGCAACTTTCCTAGGAACTTAGTCCAATTCACAAAACACAAACAGGCATAGGCAAACAAGTAAATTTCTACTTCCGACGGCCAAGTTCAAATTCTCCATAGTACTAATACAAATGCTTATTATGCGTAAAAATGCGAAGTCAAGCTCAGTCATTAGCCCTTTCATTAAGATGATGTGGTATATCATTATAGCGAAGTATAAAGACTGAGCGCAGAAAGATAAGTTTCGCTGGAGATGATACCAACATGTCGTCTTACCAGGATTTGCACAATACAGATTGAGATTCGGCATGCATTATGAATACGAAGTTCGGAGAAGTAAGGATTCTTGGCAAATCCTTTCAAAGAACCCGGCAGATTCTCTCTTACTGATATTGTCGTGTTTTTCTTGTTTTGTTTTTATTAATGCGACGAGACAATAGCAAGAAAGAGAAGCCCCGCATGCAGAGCCCAACACGCCAGCTCCAAAAGTCTCGGCACATAACCCAGCACGCCGGCTCCAAAAGGCCTCGGACACGTGCACCGTGTTTGTACCATCACATGCACTGTTTTGTCATGGAGGATATACACATGTAGAAAAGAACAAGCACAGCTAACCAAAACCTCTCCTATTAGTTATGCCTGGGGTCATGGGTCAGCCTTGAGGGAAGAACCGCCCATTATAGAAAAAGGGCAATTAAAAGTAACAAGTGTAGGGCTTCAGAGTAGAAACAATATCTGGATTTGTTTCCAAATTAGGGTAATCATACAAAGTGGTCACCTCTTGCTTAGGGATGAGATATAAAACGTTGGGACAAAAATAAGAGTACTTTGAGAGTCAACACACAGAAATTATCACTCTCAATGACCAAGTCACAGCAAGTGTTCAATCTCCTTATTAATTATGCAGGAGTAGACCCAACCTGAAATTAGTTATTTTGGCAGTGGGCGTCAACTGGAGATCAATAATGCAACAGCTGTAGTGGACAAGGCCATCACTGAAAAAGCATTAAGCCTAAAACCAACTTCTTTTTTTGCTCACAAGCTTAGGTCAGAAGCTGTGGGGTTGTGATCATGCCTCCCTGCCCATAAAAGCCCACACTCTTCTTTTTGAGTCTCTTCTTCTTAGTAGCTTCCTCATAAGCATTTAAATAATCATGCACAGGCAAAAGAAATCCAGGGGTGGAAATACGAATCCAGGAAAAATCAAGCAGGATAAACACAGCAGAAACCTCAATTGACACTATGCATTACCAAGATGCGAAAGTACGTATTCCCTGCGTAAAGGGCAAACCGCCATACTCTCGTCGTGTTATGTCCAAATGGAACTATCATGTCATGCATAACGAGATAGCGATTAGAATTTATTAGGAACATATCGATGAGGACGGATTTCGATTCGTAATTGTCGAAAGGCGAATGCTGTTCGCCGCGACTTAGCTCGAACGTTTATGGACGAACTAGAGATGGAAGATGGGCTAAGAACCATGTGTGAGGTTTCAACGAGATTGAAATCCCCCAAAAAAAGGCAATGAGGATTGAAGTGATCATGAGCGAAGAAAGCTTTTAATAATTGAAGGTGGGGGGGGTTGGGTCTACCAGACTCCCATCCCCCTCTCTCTTTTTTGCTGTTGCTTTCACGTGCCATTGGAACTGCACCTCCACATTCACATGCACCTCTCCAACCGAAACTCCTCCTTTGTATCTGCTCCTAGCATTTGCCTTTTCTAGTTGCAATCTAATGCAACACCCTGTGTTATCCCATCTCTCTCTCTCTCTCTCTCTCTCTCTCTACCAAGATCTGGACCTCCGTGTTGTCATCATCATCTTGACCAACATAGTTCCTTGAACCCTCCCAATCGATGATCCGATCCCACTTTGCGTTTGGGAAAGAAACGAATCACCTTACCTATCGTCATGTTGCTATTTTACGCAACTTTAAACAATTTCTTCGTTACATAGAACGCATTCTCCGAACACAATCCGGTCGGTTTCCCGGTTCTTCCACACCGCGATCCGGAAGTGTCGCGGGCGGTTTTTCGAGATGATTTTTCGCTTTTTGGGATTTCGACTTCCCGGCTTTTAACTTTCATAACTGAAGTCTAGAATCAAACTTTCACTTTCATATGCTGTGTGACAAGGGAGAAATCAGATAGCCTAAGTTTTCCAAATTTTTATGCGTGAAATTGGAAGGTGAGGCGCCAAAAAGGAACCTCAAATTAACCCTTTTTCTCCGTGTGCGGAACAAAGAACAGCTTGAATGTGAGTGAAACTGTCAAACAAAACACGGGCCAGCAAAAGCAACTTGAGGAATCCGTCGTCACGTGTTTTGTCTCCTTTCGCCTTACAAAAAGGAAATATATACATACATATATATATATATATATATATTCATCACATGCATGATAAAATATAAATCGAGTGAGATATATATATATCTATATATTTTGTCTTCACTGTTTATCTATACATGATACGAATGATGGTCACAAATGATGGTCACATCAAGTTCAGTGCTTTTGCTCATCAGTGTTAAGCATTCGAATCTTGTTATTCTATAGCTTTTCTTTTTTCTCTTTTGATCATCCTATCCGAACCAGCTTGCTCTCTCGAGTATCTCTCGTTTCATTTTCCTTTTTCCCCTTGTATCGTTAACCATCCCGAGTCCGACCCGATGCCTTCGGCTCCAGATCCGATGGTTGTGGCCTCGATTCATTGCTTTGGTGAACTCGGATTCAGGTGGGGTTGGGAGGCCGTAGTAATTGGTGGCGACGGTGCCGGCTCTTCTTCCGGTGATCGGCTAATTACGATCGTGTCCCCGAATTATAAGTAGGGAAATTCATAGGTCTTTGATTTGATGACGACGGCACGCTCATATCCAGCTTGTTTCCAAAGGGCCGTGCCCAAAAAAAAAAAGAAAAGGGAAGGGAAAAGCTTCCTCCAAAGCCCCTCCTGCTCGGACCCATTTGCCCTTTAAATTTATCATCTTCACACGTTTGACCAATCGATAACGAACTTCATTTATTTTTTTTTCATAGCAAGAAATAAGAATACAAATAAAGCACAAGAAAAAAGAAAAGGAAAAGTTCAATCATTCAAGGGCGGCGACCGTCCAATGGATGATCCAATTTTCTATTTTATTGATAAAATTAATTGGTCGAACACGCACCGATGACTAAAGAGGGGAAGGCTTGCGGGTTCGAATTACCGGACGAAACATTCCAATTCGTAGTTGACAGACGGGACTTCTCCGGGTTGAATTTTCGACCTCCTTCGATTATTTTTCGCGATAAGTGCACCGAAAGTCCTAAAACATGTCACGAACGTATAATCGAGTTCTAAAACTTTCAAAAAATGCAATCATGTCCTAAATCATTTCCGTTGATTGCACTTTTCGAAGGTTTCAAAACTCGATTTTCGTGACGAGTTTTAGGACTTGATTACACCTTCTGAAAATTTTATGACTTAATTGCACTTTTGGTGATAAATTTTAGGACTCGATTGTACTCTCGCGATAAATTTTAGGACTTTCAATGTATTTTTTTTTATTTTTTTTTTGCCTTTTGGTTCCCGAGAAAACAAGGAAAAAGCTTGATGATCCTAATTTTGACAGACGTATATTGTCGGGGGAAGAGAGAGAGAGAGAGAGAGAGAGAGAGAGAGAGAGAGAGAGAGAGAGAGAGGGTTTAAGCTGAGGAGTCGTTTTGGAGAGGTTCAAATGGATCCATCAATTCGCATGATTAGGCCCATCGTTTTGGAGGATGCGCGGTCGTTTTGATCGAGTTCCATCTTGGTGCCACCATTAATCTAAATTTGGTGGAATGCCCAACGTTTCCTTTACGGGCTTCGGATTTCTGTTTGGGGGGGGACACCTTTTGTCTCCGTTCGTACACATTTAGGAAAAGAAAAGAAAAGGAAAATCTCGGGCAATGATGGTGTTGCAAAGTTCATCTGATCTCGTTGCAGTTCACATCGATAATGGAACAGAGCTTGAGGGTATAGTTTTGCCGGGAAATTTGGCCCGTGTCATGAGCCAACTTGTCATGAGCCAACCGGTCACCGTGACCCCACCGAAGAGCTAACTAGATACGAGCTTGTTTTCATTCACCGGGTTCGGTCCGAAGGAGAATCGCTTGGTGTAGTAAGCCTTTATCTAGCCAGGCAACTGCATTGATGACGAGTGTCGAATGGGCGAGGGTTGAGTTTTTTGACGGGATGGAACGATCTCTTTTCGTCATGGGGCGGAATGAGTTTTGCAATCCTTTTACGGTCTCCGTAGTGGAGGGCTACTTAGCCCTTTGCAATAACCTCACGGAGTCGAAGATTCCGTATATTTTATTTAGAATTTATGAATTTTTTTTTGATTAACTCACTCGAAGTATGATTTGCTTTGACTCATCTCATACCGAACATTGTGAATTTATCCTTTGGCGTACAAGCATTTTCCTAGGAGGTCACCCATCCTAATAACTTTGGAGTTTTAAAATAAAATTTGCCGTTACTTCAAAATGCATCTCCCTCCTAAGTTATATGTCCTAGACACGCTCTCTCCATGCTGCTTGTCAAAGCCCTATAGCCTCGGCGACTTTTCCATTTCCCCACCCTCATCATACCGCTTTGTTACATGTTAATTTTTGTTCGATCGAGGACGAAGTGGATAGCATATTGCCGCCGCACTGGCATAGGCCACCGGCATCAACACCTCACTAAAAAACTCGATGGTTTCAGCTCGGTTCTATAAGGTGTTCGGGCATTATCAAAACTAATTCTAATGGATTATTTTAAAATTAATGATGAATGCAACCATGTCCATCCCATTTCTAAATCGAAATCGAAGCGAGTCATGAAATTCCAAAACGTGATTGTTAGCGTGACACTCGGGCCCTATTTGTTTCGCATAAAATGAATTATTTGGAAAATCTTTTTGA